CATCTTTAACCTAGCTGTTGCAGAGGTGGGCGGCGGCGAACTGCCAGCTTGCTTGCCACCTCCTCACAAAAAACATCCCACAACTGAGCAAAGAACTCCTTACAATGAGCGTAGACCACTAAAAGACCCCACTGAGGACTATTATGAAAGATATATTCAAAATGTTTAATAATTTTTTTACAGTTAACATGCAGTTTTCCTAACGGTATGTTTGTTTATGAACGCCAAGGTTGAATGGGAGATAATGCTCATGGCATAACGTCCGCCTTTGTACATTCATGTAAGTGCATAATGAATAAATAAACGTGGTAAATCAGCACTTCAGCACCTGGACTTGAAGTCCAGTTACGTGAATTACTAATTTAAAGGAAGCACACGAAAATTCAGCTACCATGGCCTATAACGTTGAAAAACAAACATATTAAAATATATATTTAATCTATAGGTATAGGTGTATTAAGATGCTAATCATTAATCGTTTTGAAGGATTGCATCAAAACTCACATCGTGTCGCAGTGTCAAGCAAGGGACAACCCTACCCGCAACGGTGCGCGACATGTGAAAACTGCAATTGCTTAATTAAGGAAATGAGTTTATTACTCAAGGGATATTGAATAAAAACCTAATGCTTTCAAATTAAATAGACCGAGCGTGTCGACTTTAACGGAAACGAACATTTCTAATGCTGGGCGAGGACGCAATTTATTTATTAGATATCAACGGAAATCCTTCGGTGCGTTTCGCTCACGTCTCTTAACGTCCGTATGATATATAAGGTGTTTGGCACAGAATTTATTGACTTCAAACAAACACACGAACAAAAACACTTTTACATTTAATATGCTTAGCAATAACTATAAGTAAGAAATCTATGCAAGGTGAAGAATTCATTTTTTCAGTTCGGCCGTTTGTAAATATTTGTATATATTAACTAGGTACATTGTTAATTTAATTCGATCACATCGTAATTACATTAAATACATTTTTTATCGCAATTAAATTTTCTTCTTTCTTATATTACATACATCCATATTTATTATACGCATGAAGTAACACACGGATAGATATTTAAAACTACCAGGAGCACATAATACCGCAGAGTAAGACGTAATAATATCCGAGTCAATCAGAATTCAATCCTAATACTGTCACGCGTGAGGTAACAACACACGGGTAGGTATTTAAAACTACCAGGAGCACATAATACCACAGAGTAACAGTCGTAATAATATCCGATTCAATTGTAACAACGCTACGCATGAGGTAACAACACACGAGTAGATATTCAAAGCACTTAGCGTACACACGACGCACCTAATCTCTACCGGTAATGAGCGCACAATATTCCGGGGATCAGGCACAATACCAAGAGTGCTCGAGATAAACGGATCACGTTACTTGATTAACCGGCCCTCCCCCGCCCAACACCACCCCCGGGAATATTTAAATGCGGTACCGCGCGAGGGCGGAGTTCACCTGCGTCTTAGAGAACGGCAATGTTTATCACGGAGTGATATATCACCCGAATAACTTGGCACAGCCTGGCACTATTGTCTATCGAGAATATTATCATAAGTTTACATACAGTGCTGTTTGTTCCGAAAGCAATTATTATCTGTGGTCTTAATTGTGCGTGCCGTTAATAATCTGTGGTCTTAATTGTCTGTTAGTCGTATTCATGCGTGTCAATTTTCCCCCCTTATTATTTTTAACTATATATATATATATATATACCTAATTAAAGATATGTCTTATCTTGTCGATTAGAAATTAATAATTATACAAAAACTGTTTCACCATTCCCCCCTCAAATCACAAAATTAAACACGAGCGGAAAAGACAACAGAATAAAGTTAAAGTAAAGGAGCCTATATTTATGTCCCGTTCCTGGACGAATGCCTCCTCTGCACAAAGGGTATTATCGCATAGTCCACCACGAACCCCTCTGAAGGTAAAGGTGAATACACTGCGGATTGGCGGACTTCACATATCTTCGACTTTTTTTTATATGTATATTTCGACAATATAATGAAAATGTAATATGGGTTTCCTCTCGATGATTTCCTATATAATTTTTACGCATTGACCTGCTAAATTCCAGCAGGAGGTTTGTAATGAGCAAGTTTTCCTTCGTTGTTGTAAATACACTGACCGCAAAGAAAAAGGTTCGGTTAGAAAATCTTCAACAGTACCTAACCTAGCTTTTTGAAATAAATACCAATTTAAAGAATATTTAATGTCACATAAAATAATATATAAAATAATGGTCTTTTTCATATTTATTCCAAAAAAATTCAAATCAATTGTTTCCTGTTTGTTTAAATATTGCAATAACAAAGTTATAAATATGATGTCTCTGCCTTAAAAGTTTTATTATTCTGCAGTCATCGTGTCGTTGAACAAAGAAGGATGTACCAGGATTCTGACAATGCTTGAAAATGGCCATAGTCAGCGAAATACAGCGAGAACTATTGGTGTGACTCTTTCTAAAGTTCAACCAATACTCCAGGGTTTCAATGAAACTGGATCCAATCTTCGAAGAGGTCGAAAGGTGCACGACGGCGTAGGAGGATCCCTATATGGTGTCAATAATTTTTTACAAATCGCTTCTTACGACTGTCGATGTAAAAGCATCTTTTACGAGCTGGGGGAAACGACCGTTGAAAACCTTTAAAAACGTAGGCCTCCTTTTTTAAAGGTTGTTAAAAGATTCGCAAGCCATAGGGTGTTGATTGCTCATAGGCGGCGGTTTTAACTTAACTTCATGAGTGTAAAATGACTTTGGAGACATGGTAATAGAGTCACAACAAATGAAGACAACGTCGTTATGTTCAAAGCAACGCTTTCTCTATTAAAACGAACCAATTTGCATCCTAATTGAAGCACTGAGAGAAGTTATTACAATGATTATGCATAACACATTTTGTTAGCTTCTTCTATATTATGCTCAATTTGGTACAATCGTGTGTTTGTGATCAGTAACTTAATTAATGAATAACATTAGTGTTATCAGCAGCATGTGATCTTGCCATTTATGAAATAAAATCCAAGCACCTCAGACTAAGACCTCAAGATATCCATTGTGGGTCGATCGGAACAACCAAAAAATTTAATGATAGGCATGCCATAAAGACTTAAAAACTTAGAGAATGTGGGTAAATTTAAAGTAATAATTAAAGACGCTATAATCCTTAACATGTTTTACTAAACGACTGATTTATTCAGGCCGTATGCACAAAATGAAAAATACTTCCTTTGTCTGTACGATGATTCACTACAACTCTGTCATAAGCCAATTACTGATGCAGTTGTTAAAATGTAATTATTTATTAAATAAATACCAATAATTTGCCGACCAAATACTTGACGATGACCTTATTGGCGTAGTGCCTTATTTCTTACTCTATAAATAACAGCGTGATAACAATGATGAACAAACAACTCATCAACCGATCAATCAAGGTGACATCCTAAAATTAATACTAAGATCTTCAAGGACATTACGTCTAGCCTAGGTAGTACACTATCGCCTCTATTCGTACTTATTCAATTTCTTCTTTATCTATTTTATAAACGACCCCTATTTGTTAACTTTTTATTTCAGTGTTGATAGCTAATTTCTTAAAGGGAAAATTAAAAGTTATAAACACTGTTGCTGAGCCGATCCCATCAAGCCGCAAAACCAAGCTTTCAGACTCGTCCGGGGATTAGGCAAAAACACTGGAGCGGCGACCGGTCCTTGCGAAGCCCCTCGTCATTCCGGGCACGTGCCGGCGTCTAAACCACCGCCTCACTGTCAATATTCGACGCTCGAACCGCCCGCGAAATCAATATAGACCTTATCGACGGTAAATCGCTACGGATCGCCCGACCGCCTAATGAATCACAAAAGGAAGAAAGGAGGCAGTTTGTCCGAACACAATTAGTGTTGTTGCGATGCGTTTATTTGTGTGTTTTTACAAGTCGCGGGTAACGTGCAAGCGGTTCTACTGTGTGACCATTATGGACAGCGGAAGAACCATTCACTGGTGACAATCGATTCCACAGTTGCCGTGCTTCAGTTAATTGCAGAGCTTGTATACTTTCTACATACAATTGTGAAGAGACCTTTAGACAGAATAAACCTCCATCGGTGATATTCAGATGAATCTTTAATAGTCTACGGGCTGAGAGCAAAGACTAGGTGCACGCTCATATGGCTTTTATTAGATTGAGTGGTATCACGTCTTATAACAGGGACCGTTGCAATATGATGTGGTTGGCCGGAAAAATTTAACTGCGAACGCTAGTTGGCACATATAAAGATACCTATGTAGAAAGTTCTGTTTACTAAACATTTATAAGTTTTCCAGTCTTCTTTACTTTCCATTGAAAAACGTCTTTTGTATATATAATATTACTAATATGGACACAGCCGTCCATTTATAAGCTAGGCTGCTTAGAATTTCGAGGTTGGATAGTAAACAAGACATAGAAATTAGGAAAATTGATATCGAAAATCGTCTGCCAGTGCAGTCAGAGTACAGCAACGGTTCGTCTATAAGCAGAATAAAAACACGTCACAACGCAGTGTTCGTCACCAGACAAACAACAAATAAAACGCGGAATTTAGTCGAGACGGACGTAGCTTTAGCATAGCCGACCATGAGCGTCACATTTACTCAAGTGTTTTCATTTATGAATTGTTAAAAGGTTCCAGTAACTGTGTCCATTATTATTGTAAGTCAGTCAATTCACGATAAATTAAGCGTGCGAAAAGAGTGAACGTATTTTTTTCCTTTTACCATTTCTGAACTACGTCAGCTTCAAGCCTAGCTAACAGGACAAATAAGTTTTCAACCGATCACATAATTTGAATCGAAACAAAGACAAACAATCAATATACATATTTAAATCTAACCATGTAGAACTAGAAACACTGGTATCCAGTCCTCGACGCGCCAATACCCGATCTTATGTCACCATCGCGAGCCAATAGCGCGCCACAGATAAGAAATGAGATGGTAAAAAGGGGGCAAAGTGCAAATTCAGAGGGCTGTCACTCGGAATCTCGAGCTGTCGCGCATCCGTCTGTATTCCGTCGGCGCCACCTGCCGCAGATGCACGGCCCTGAACCATGCGCGTTCATTGATTGGTCGCAGGTCGTTACACCGTCAAGAGAGCAGGTTCTGGCGGCTAAAAAAACGTTATACATACGCGTTCGGAATTTGAAACACCGTGAGCTACCGACGACTCCAATGGGGTTTTATTGTAATGCATATACATAGGGATTAAAAGTCTAGTTTGGAATTTAGTCTCTTCAAAATAAATAGATCATGTCCTACTTCGGTACTTTTTATGTCGTCATATAATGCGACTGGGAAATGACTAGCAGGACTAGAATCAGTACTGGGACAAGAGTCCTTCTCTTCTTTCTTTTTTTATATTATGCCTACTGATAAATAATATTAAATCACGCTTTGTCTATAAGTAGGTTATACGGATGGGTACTTGGTCTGGCAACGCTCGAACCCAGAACCAACGCTGCCGAAACGTCAGCCATTTGCAGAGTTTCATTGTGATTTATTATGAAATATTACTCCACCGTAAAATTTTCCGCCCTCTCTCCGGAGTGGTCTAAATTATAAAAGGGTGATCCATTATGAAGCATACGATTTTACCTTTTGTAAATTTAGAAAAGTTACTTCTATTTTACATCAACGTCTAATTATTTGTCATATTCATTTTTCATTGGTAGGTTTGAAACTTTGAATAACTACCACACTGATCATCGTATTTTTATTCAAGTAACATTTGAGAAACCATTTGACAGCTGATTAGTTAATGTTACGTTGATCATTGTTTCAGAAACCGGGCGTAAATGTTAACAATACGTATAGGCGATACGAAAGAAATTTAAACTTTTATTCCATATGATATGTGCAACTCAAGGGTACAAGATCAAGAGGCTTTAGCGCCGTCTCCGCATTCAATTATAACAGCATTCATCAGATTAATCTGCTAACAAAACTAATTCGTAGGTGTAGAACTATACAATATCAATAAAATTATCGTAATAGGCGACTCACTATACAATACCGGCATCAGACGATTCTCCAGCGGACGTGTCGGATCGGGTTATGCTAAACTAAACGTAAGCGTCGCGTACTGTCGAGTTGACAACCTTGCGCGGGTCGGACAGTCGCGCGCAAAGTGCAAGGCTGCGGAACTCGGATCGCGTCAATAAAACAGATACAAAAGATAAAACAGATACAAAATGACCTCAAAAATATGGTGGCAAACGGAGTACGATTCTTTTCTTAAAAAAAAAAAACAGGAATATCTGATGTCGATGCCCCAATTATAAGTTGTCCGTGACGTTATAGTAAACGATATTAACCGCAAAGAAGAGAATTTCAATTGATATTCTTTTTTTTAATCTACTTCACAGCTATCTTTTTTCCGTTACACTTATCAAGTGAGCATCCGACGAACTCCATCCGCAGATCATAAACGGACCAGTTCGATTTTAAAATCGGACCGTTCAAAAATAAAACGGACCGTTCTGCGTTTCGTTTAACGCTTCGGATAATGCTCTGCGTTCGACTTCGACAAACACTCGCTTTCGATTATGATATTTGAAGTGGCGCACCATTGAGGGTTCGGCGTGTTATATTTTTCTCGCTAATGCAGCTCGTGTTGCGAAACTTTAAATGCGAAGCTGATACAAGTGAATGGAATAATCTCGAATGAATTTATTATATCGAGGCATCTCTTCTTAATTTTTTTCCGGGATTGATGACATAGGCAAAATAAGAGCAATGGCCTGTAGCCTGTAGGATTAGATTATTAGACAGATCTAATAGAACATTTTAAGATCTCACGTGTTTAAATGAGGTGGACGTAACTTTTCGCTATTTAACTATTCTATTGCTATTCGCGATTTAACTCAGCATATTTAATTTCAGACGTCACACACACGAAATTGTGTCGATTCGATTTCGCGTGTTCGTATCGGGCACCGTTAGTTTGTTTTTTTTTTTTTTTGTTGTGATGTCCAGATTATTTTTCGACGAAAAAACAATTGCTATCCCATTATACCTATAAAGCTTGAGAACCTGTTCTATACAATTTTTAAATATGTATATGTAATACTGTCCTAGGCGTATTATTTGTATGATTTATATATTCATCAACTAGAGATTCCTTTCCGTTGGCCGGTTTTTTTGAAACATAAATAGTAATAAACACTTAGATGTGCTACTAATAAGCGATTAAAAACAGATTATATTAGATAGATAACTTCACTTTCAATCACAACGAAAATATTGGGAAGTAACGACTTAAGGCGACGCATCGAACTTTTACATATTTTATACGATACAGATATATATATATATATATAAGTTTCATAACAATACGAACGACCGAACCATTCGTCTATCATTGCCGGATCACGTATACTACCACAATTAATGGCTTCGGCCGCTTCACACTGAAGCATCTCTATTTTGAGGCACATAATAATACATAGGCATGCAATAACATTTTATGGGCGCACTTTTATTGCCAGTTTGAAAACGAGAAATTATCCGAACACAATTACGGCATAGTATCCTATTAGAATAGACAATGAAGTTTGCAACTTAAAACCAACATATTTTCGCTACGACTTACACGATTACATGTTATATATTACGAAACAAATAACTACAAGACAGACTGTACAGCGTATCGTTTTACGTGTCCCCTTGCATTTAATGCATTGTGTATGACTTCGCAGTCAGCATTTTCATTCCCCGTTGTTTTTATTATTACCGAGGTAAAAATTCCCCTCCGTTTATTCGATGCACATGGGATATCTGTGCGCTAAATAACTCCTCCAGAGTTTATCGTGTTAGTTAAACAATATTTTATTTATTCAACTGCAGAAAAGTTTCCGACACTACTGTCGCTTATCTATTCAACAAAACAATGTTTTCAATGAGCAAGTAACAAATTCCGCGCAATTTAATCGCTCACAGATAATAATAAAGGCTTTCTTAGTGCATCCTTATGGCTCACCATTTATTTTCCTCATTCCAGACCCTAGACCTTTACAGCGCCGCCAAAATCCTTCCCCTCAGACGGCAACAACAAAACACATACACAATCACAAACTTTCATATATTACACAGATCACACATGTAAACATGTAATAAGTGCGCACGAGTTAGTCACTATGCGGTCTTATCTAACGTTCAGATTCTATACCGAAGTTGATAAAGATGAAAACACAAAACTGTTTTATCACGAAGCGATCTACACCCACGCAAACATGTTGCGACGCGCGTCAACGCCGCGTGACTGCAGGCGTGTCGCCGGTTGACACTTTGTCGCTGCAGCTAACGGTGGTTATGCGAACTAATTCGTAGTTACGCAGATGAACAAAAGATGGCGCTGTGACGATTGCCACCTACACTAATTTGTTTACAATTATATTGTATACATGTGTATCAATAGATTAATAATGCACGCGTTAATTAGCTGTTGTAAATGAAATCATTTTTAAAATAAAAATAATCTCACGGTAGTTAAAATACAAGGCATAAATATGTTATAATACAACGAATATTTTCTTTTTTTTTTATTATTTATAATTGTAGAGCGTTTTAAAAAAAAAATACCCAATCAGATAAAATATGCTTCAACATTTATTTTATTACCAGTATGTATGTGCTTTTTACTTAACATAAAACTTACCTCAAACGGCTTGCAGTTTGTTTGAAGCAGTAATTTATCCGAGGATACAGGTTAGAGAAAACAAATACACACTCCACTAAAGTAACAATGAAAATTTATGCAAGATTACATAGAATGTAATTAAAAAAAAACTAAATAAAATAAGAAAATCAATTAAAATCACATCGAAACGAAAGCTGGTTAAAAGCACTGGAAAGCACAAACCGCAATTCTGTGTCTTGAATTCCTGGCAACACACTGTTTACACAAATAATTAATTTCGGACAGTTTCACTGTGAAAAGCGACCGATAACACATCCATCACCCCATTATCTACCCGACCTGAAGTTGGCAGCGGGTGCTCACGTCATAATATACCATAAATAATGCCATATACTTCCGAGACGAACCGCCCTTTACCGTACACGGTCTACGGTATGCGTAAACGTGAAATTAGGGTTTTCAATTCAGTATTTCGTTGAATTTCAAGGTTTTGAGACGTTCAAATCGATGCCGGCCGGCCTTTGCGTGCGTGGACGAACGACTATCGGCGTGTCGTCGCTAAGCTATGGAGTTGCGAGGCAGTTTCGCTCGCGAGGGGGCGGCGCGTCGCATAAACCCGTATTACAATACGTTAAATCGCCTCCAGCCCTCGCCGACTGCAGTCGCAGCGTGGCCCGTACTCCACTGCGACATCCTCGAGTACTCACTTAGCGTACACACGGCCAATTGCCTCGAGCTTAATGACGCTTTCCATTTAAAGAGCAGGGGGAGTCTTGTCAACGCTTGCTATCTTTTAAAGCTATACTTTATTCAATTGTTTTTTTTAAACGCAGCGTCAATCAACGTCTTTCATGATAAATCAAAACACATTTTCATACCAAATGGACAGTTTAAATCGGTATTGCGTTCCATACATACATTATTTAGATCAAATATGAGAAATCCATCAAACGTAAAGGAAATCATAGCCGAGAGGGCTTTCGTAGGGCTCCGAAGGGGGGAATAAGGACGGCGACAATTTTTCCGGTTCATATCTCTCTTTACATTTCATTGCTTCCGCTGTGTGGACTCTACGGTCGCTTCGGGGGCGCTTGCCTGTACTCGGAGCGCTTCGGTTAATTCCGGCGGACTAATCGATAGCCGTCGGGCGTGCTACGCTACGCCTACAACTGTAGGTTACGCTACGAGTTATCCGTGCCTATAACACGTTTTGTTATTACGTTTGGCGGGCGAACTTGACTTGGCACGCGGAGTTCCCCAGCGTGCAGTTGCATTGCGTATTACGCACGCTTTCTTGACAAAGATGGGCTATCATATAACAACGATATGTTACGCGTTCATTTTATATCTCGTTCCTAATGTCATTTGTATTGGATTTTCAACCGACTTTTAAAAAGAGAGGTTCTCTATTCGGTTGTATTTTTTTGTTTGGTTCCTGAGAACTCCGTCATATATGAACGGATTTAAAAATTTCTTTTTGCATTGGTTTAGCTCACATGTGACTCTCATTGGTATTGGTACATCAAGGAACCCCTAAAAATAAAATAGGCAGTGAGAGTGAGATATCCGAAGCAAGCTTTCTTTTATATTAAAAAAATATATTCTTGGATTTGTTTTTAATTGAAATAATGTTACGATAATCTTAACTACTAGTTCCAGCGCTTTCGTCTACGTTGCTTATTACATTAACAATGTATGCAAAAAGCACACATTGCTTTTAAAAGGCGTCGTTTCTTAAAGCTTATAACTTCGCCTTAAATAATATACAGATGTCACAATATTTTTAAGAGCCTTGTAAGCCTGTAAGAATTAAACATTTTCCGTGCTGCGCGTACTACGGCAGATTTAGAGCATCTCTATCATTTTATTCATTTAGAGTTAGAAGTGTAGGTACTGTTTATTTAACTCGTTTACGTTTAAGAAAATACCCTTCCATCTTAATTAACCAACATAAAGTATACAAGAATAATCATAGATTATTAAAAAACAAGTTGTCATACAACAAAAACATAAATAAAAAGCCTAAAAAAAATATTTGTGAGTTAACTTATTTAGGAAATTGATATTTAGTCCGAGGGATGAAAGCATATACTTACACGTATTTTAGAAAATAAAATTAAATAACTTTATTTTGTTTTTAGATTTTATATCAAGACGATGTTATACCAAAATTTTCGAAAACGTTAAGACTAAAGTGAAAAACACAAACATTAGTTAGGGCATTAGTTAGGGCCACGCAACAGTTTTCGCTGTTGCATGAATGGGCAGGTCCGTCCGGGTAAGTACCACGTCCTCGCGGAAGACCAGCTTGGTATTGTGTACTACGAGGTAGCCGGGGCCAATTTTATTAAAAGGTGTTACAGTTGTTGCAGATTTCTACAACATTTTAGATTATACTTCTGTTCTGATTGAAACTTTCATTTACCTTTTACTGGTTAGACACATTTAAGGTAACACCATGCTGAAAGGCACAATCACTCAGCTGTTAGGTACAAATCATGGCAGGACAGCAGGACATGGCTTAATAATTACTGCAAGGGTACTGTAACTTTTGATCTACAAGATCGCTGTCATACAACCGAGACTTTACAAGCAAAAACTCTACGCCTCGGACCACCATTCACACCAGACCTAGCGCCGCAAATATGCCAAAAGCTTTAGCTTTAGTAAAAATTTCAAAATCTCAATATGGGTTTAAAAAAAAAGTGATAAGTGGTGGATAACCGAGGCACATAAAAAAATGTTAATAAACTAAAGGTGAAATACAAACATTAAAAATATACTAGCGGACCGGACAGACGTCCTGTACACGCGTCCTAAAATTAGAAAATTTGAAACTTTTTTGAATAACTTTGTGAATCTAAACCATTCTCGAATGCACCTGAACACACACACAACATTTCATTGAAGTCAATCCAGCCGATTAAGAGGAGTTCAGTGACATGCACTCGTACAGAAGAGTTATATACAGGGTGGCTTTTCTAAGTGTATCCATTTTTTTTATTAAATTCTAGACATAAATAATGTTATATAAAAATGATAAATATTTAAAATCACTCGTAAGTAATTAATTACATTCATTTGAACTTATCTCAAAAAGTGCGTGATCTAAACGCAACTCATTTATTTAACGCGCGATAATTCATAACTAACACGCACACAAGTTCGTGCACAGTAAAATTTAGTTATTTATGAATGACTACCGCATTGTCAACATATTCTGTTTTTTAGGGAATAGAATGGCATTTTTTTGGAAAAAAAAAAACTTTATTTGCTATTTCAATAAACAATTATACTACCGAGTCTGAACCTCCTATGCCAATTAAGGCACTTCTCAAAAAATCTCCCTGTATATAAAGATAAACATTAACTAAAATATTCGAAATTGTTTGTATGCTGGAAAGGGTGGATGAGACGCTTACATTTTCGTCGCTGTGGCAATTAGCCGTTTAGCTTAGTGGCTAAACCGTTAGACGCAAATCCCGAAGACGTGGGTTCGATTCCCACAGCGGCGAGAAACTTTTCGTTCCTTTTCTCTACAAATTTTAATGTTTAATCTTAAGTGCAGAGATTAGCACTATAAAAATTTTAATTTATATAAACATAGAACTACAGAAAAGTAGAACAAAACCGTAGAAAAAACATATTACTCAAAAAAAAAATTCAAATAAAAAATATATAGATATAGAACGGTGACGATATTAAGAACTTTTACTGTTGTCAGTTAATTGAAGATTTATTGTTTGTGCGAATTTAAATATATTATTGTCAGGAATATCTATCTCTGTTTACTTATCTAATGATCTGAAGGATTTAATTAATCTATTAATAGGAGCATTGTACCCTAAATCAGACCGAGCTGCATTACAGCGAAATAACGTCTTGTTGATCATTCTCTGAGATGTTCCGAAAGAGATGTGAAGCATAAAGTTTCAAGTAAATGTGGGCAGTCAATTGTGGCCGTTTGCTAATTTGTACAATAAATTTTAATATCTTTAATCGAAGAGTACGAATAGGACGAAATATTTAAGTCTGTCAGCATATTTGTTTAAAAAAATATTGTTTACACCCCAAAATAAGGCCAAAAAAAAGGTAAACTTAATGCTAATAAGCATTTCTCTTCCAGTCAACCCTAGGAGTAGTGAAAAATTTTACGTAGGTGCAACAAAATCTAAAATTCTATTTTGAAAAGATAAAATAATAACAAACATATTTCATAAATTTACTTAATGCAAACGTGCATACTATAAACTATTAAGTACATAATTATATATTCCAATACCTACATAACTCATACGCGTACTCATACGCATACTCATCAGGTATGCTGACAGTTTTTGCTAGACTGCACTTAAAAACCAAATACTTTAGGAAACGCTTCTGTTCACCCTCCATCTATGTAGTCCAGTGTAAAATATCAATGAGTAATGGTGATCACCACAAGCCTTCCTCATTTGCCAGCTCCTATCCAAATAAATCTGTTAAAAACATAATATGGCTTTACTAAAAGTGAAGTATGATTATTAGTGTACGTATTAATTAAGTAGCATTATGTAGAAAATATAAGAAGTACCTACGCAATTTTTATAATTATACTGTCACTGCCGATATAAATGACAACAAATGAGGTGTAGTTAATTTTAAACTTACTTACTTCTCTCTCAATGTATTGTCATTTTAATCCTTTCCCTTCCCAATATTAAAAAAAAACTTTTTTTAATAGCTGTAGAGACTGGCGTTCAGATGGCGTTCTGTGGTAGTTTTAATTTATCGACTTGTTACTGCTTTTCCTTTATCTCATCTGATAGTAATCAGTGATGTAGTCTAACGCGGTAAACGAACTACGGTACATAGTTTTACTGTATAAGCATTAGGAAAGACAAGAGCCAAGCTTCTACGCTTGGAATATCTACAACGGAAGAGGGCCTGCGGAGTGTCTAGCCGTGCATAATTGGAGGGGAAACGGGAAATTATACTTTTGAGACAAATAAAATCACCACTGGTCCCAACACTCGATTGGTAGCTCTGTAACTATACTGCCTTCTACATATCCAAATATTATAATTCTCATCATTATCACTATCAGTATTATCAGCTGAAAGTCGTAAGTAAAACCTCCGCCGCAGAACGCCACAGTGTCATCATTTTCTCGAAAATTCTTTATTGATATTTTCATAAACATTTATAATAGTTTCTCATTTGAGTATGACAACTTGGACCGCGTATAAGCGATCCATGGTGATGATGATAATGATTTTACTCGTATTGCATTTTTATTTATCGATCAAATACACACGGATTAAATATAAGGCATTTAAAAGCGACCTGGTACACGTGGACATCGTGTGTAATCTGCGAATCGAAGACTTTGTTTGTTACGGAATTAAGGCCCATTTACACGATGCCATTTTCTTGTACATACAAGAGCAATAATTGAATGCAATAAATTGCGCGCAATAATTTTTAAGACCATTTGTTGTTTAGACCATGCAACTCATTTATTGCTTCAATTTAATTGTATACAACAGGCAAGAAACTGGCACCGTGAAAATGGGCCTTTAATGGGCTTTTGGATTGGCCATATTTCGTTGAGAGGGGGTACGGACAGGGAACGAACGGAAAGGTAACCAGCTACAAAATAAAGGCAGTGCAGAAAAGCACTAAAACAGTTCAGCAGTATGTATTAGTCATCATCAGTGTCAGAGCGCGGCGATCGCTTTTAATTTCTCTCTCGAATTACTCGTGCCACATTCCTTACCTGGTGCCAGCGGCAATGATCGTAAAAAAACTGTATATTTTGGAAAGGTTAATAAAAAAAAATATTTCGAAGATATGTGAAGTCTGCCAATCTGCAGTGATATCGCGTGTGGTGAACTATGTCCTAGTACCCTCTGTACACAGAAGAGGCTAAGGCTAAACCTCTTCTGTGTACAGGGTACTTTTATCTGTATTCTGTGTACTCTTTAGACAATATGTCATTGTCAATTGATTGACAAAAGAGGTGGAAAGTCGATTTGATCTGGATTCTGGATAAAGATTTTAAAATGACAATCATAACAAAAATTTCTTAGTACGTATAATATATTGAATTTGTTCCCTTTAATTTAACAGAACAGAGGGAACAAGGAAATGGATAAACTGAATACTTTAACGTAATAACATAGCCACGTGTTATAATAATATATTATGATATTGAAGTGAGCGACAATTTGTTTAATTTAAATGATTATCTTTAATTACAGTGGTTTCGAGCTAGTGGATAAAGGAATAACAAAAATTCAAGCGAATTTACCCGAATTGGGGTTGAAAGATGTATATCCGACTGGGTCTTGGTTGGAAGAAAAACAGATACAAGCTGCTATTGATGCTCGAAAACAGTTAATATGTGCTGAACGAATAGAAAAAAGGTGAAGACTTTGTATTGTACCTGATTTGACCTGCACTGAAACATCCATTAAATACCTCTAGTACCAAGCTTTATTTTCATAAAATAAATTTTATGAAAATAAAGCTGATACGTTTTTCTTTTTATAACAGTGATTATGACTTCTTATTAGTTGATCCTTTCAATATATATTGTGTATATAATTTATATTGTCAACATAGTGGGACAAAAAGATAATGATATTATGTAGCATTGCATAAATATTCTTTATTCCATTTCTTTCTTTAAAATGAATTCTTTCTTTCCCAAATGAATGATTGTTATATTCTAAATGACCTCAACATATTTAGGTACAATATTGCAACAAGCCTACATTCATTATTTTAGTGGTACCATAAGTCATGCAGAATGGAGAGAAAACTTAATGCTAGCAGAAGTGACACAGAAAAACGGTGGACACTGGCAGTTTATGGGACACAACATTGGCAAGCAGCTATATTTATATCCGGAGGAAACACTCTTTCTAATGGAAATTGTAAGCTTTTAATACTACTTATGCATCAAGTGTTTGATGCTAAATTCACCATCTGACATAATCATTAACTCAAACAGAGCTAAGAATGGAAAGCATAAATATCTTGTTAACTCTTTTAAAGTTATCTGAAGCTTTCTACATTTTAATTCGGATTCTATAATTGCTTAATAGAATTTCTGCGAGATTACTAGTGGGTCAGTTCCCAAACTTACCCGACAAAACACAGCTGTGTCACACTTCCACTTTACACCAGTTTTCTATTAGATTTTGGTGCTCCCCCGGACTTGCCCAGTCATGCAACAGCGAAGGCTGTTGTGTGGCCCTGCCACACATGCTCTTTGGAGTAGGAGTAATTATGAAAACTAGTTATTGATCATGACAATGAGGGAATAATGAATCCTAATCATGGATATTCCACATCCATATGTAAAAGATCTGTTTAGTTAGACAATTTCTTTATTTTACCTTAAATCATTTACAGCATTTAAATCCACATTCAGCTAAAAATGATGATGCAAACGGTAGTAAGAGATTTCTTGCCCATTTGGTTGAATTTGGATATTTGATTTCTGTTTCCTCACAAAGCTAAGCCATCCTTTTATGTTAAATAAGTTTTTAGTGAATCATCAATTTGCAATTGTGCGAGTTCAGTGTGTGTGTGTGCTACTATGTGATTTCCCAGATTTTCATTGCGTTAAAAGTTACTTTTTTAAATCTAAATAGAGAATGTAAATATGGCGTCCTAAAAATTTAAGTATTGTGTAAAATGCGAGGAAGTTTACTTCACAACCCAAACACTGTGTTCATATTTTTATCTCGTGAAGCGAAATTATACCTGATAATTATTTTCCGCAATTATTAAAGAAATTACTTTTTTCGTTCAATTTGGCATCGAAATCTAGCATTGCATTTAAATGGCCTGGAGCGAAAAAGCTAAACTCATGTCAAGTCCATTTTCGAATTGCGCCCCTTAACAATCAAATTGCCCTCCGGAAAGGAGTGAGCCCCATGTTGGGAAACGCTGGTTTAGTTAAATATTCTCTTAAGTTACATGTTGCATTTATACTTGTATTATAAATGTAATAGGTTTTGATTTGACTGCATTATATTCTGCAATGGATTAGGTACTCTTGTCACTATATGTTGTGGGTGTTATCACTTCATGGTAGAAAGGCTCGGAGTGGTTGTGATCATGATTTCATGGATATAAAATGGTGTAAGTGAACTTTTATAAATAACATGATACTTTTACTTTCAGAACTGTCTACTTCTGAAACATAATGACGTGAAAGTATCTCTGCAGCAAGCATACTCTTTATTATTTAGGGACAAGGTGTCTCTAACACAATATATTGTTTATGCATCACTAAGTAGAGTAGGCTATAAAGTGTTAAGACATAAAAACACGACACCTGATAAAGATAATTGTGATCAAAGAAAACTCCAAAAGGATAATGTTACAGCAAACAACTCTAATGAGAAAAGTGGAGATGACCAAAATAAACAAGCTGTTGTATCAGAAATCCAAAGCAAAGTGATATCAAAAAGCACTGGTGATGAAAATGACAGTGCCATGGATGCTTCCTCGGAAATATATGATAATATACCCAATAGTGGTAAGAATAAACTGAACTGGTATATTAATCAATTTATGTGTCTTCATACCTCATAATTATAGATAGAGCAGTTAGTAGTGATGATTTAGAAGTCTCCATACTTGGACTAGCCAGAACCACTAAAATCATTTGTCTGGAAAATATAATTTACACAATTTGTGTAGAGAATATAATTAGTGTAAGCACAATAAGTAATAAATACACATATATAATAAAGCACAATAAATAATTTAAGTGCTTGCAAAAATATTGAATAGTGTATGATAATCAATTATTTCCCACTATTATAAGAAACCGCTGTATTAGATAAAATTCTCAACTTGCTGTTTTCAGATGCAAACCATGCAACCGATGCCACCGTCAATAGCAACCATTGTGATGACGAGAGCCGCATTTCGAATGCCTACAGCCGCCAGATCCTGAAGATTACAAGCAGGAAATACAAGCCCTGCGACGGCAAAAAGTTGGCCAAGTGCTTCAAGAGTCTGCCGAACGTGTTGCATCGTCAAACCGTCACTGTGGACGCACCCGAGAAGGAGTTCGTACCCTCATCCATCAGCTTCGCCAGGGCGGCTTATACGCTGAACCTTAAAGCGGTCAAGTCCAAGGGAAGGCGGCGCGCCTTGAGGAGCTACAGCGCCGGCGACGAGGCGAGCGGCTCCCACGTCCGCAGGGTGAGGAACGCTCCGGAGAGCAGCGCCAGGAACGTTCCAGGATACGGCACCAACCAGCCCCGTGCAAGGTTCGACCCCCGGCAGCACCGCTTCCCCCAGTTGCGCCCCTCCGACTTCTGGCGGGCGCCTTTCCCCACGGACTACTACGTGACCTTCCCGAGGCTCCTCTTCTCGAGCATGTTCCCGCGACTGCAGAACTTCTACAGGCCGCAATACTTCGGACTGAGCCCGCACCACTCCTGCGGCCGTTTCAGGAAGAGGTTGCGCGACAACGCGCAGGGCTACCACTTCGAATCCATCAAACAGCTGGCTGCGAGGCTGAAGGCCCTCACGCGCACCGGTTCCGCCCAGCCCGAGAACATGGAGGCTCTCAACAAACTGATACAGACTTACAACAATCGCTACAAATCGTCCATACGACTCACGCCCGACCACGAGATCGTCGAAAGCGAGAACATCATGGAAACGATAGACCTGGACGACGACGACGAGCAAACAAAGAGCAAAAGGCCCCGTCTAGACGACACCTACACGCGGAATCTAAACGAAATCAAAGAGCTGGCGAAGAGGCTGAAGGAACTCGAGAGCGAGGGAAAGGCCACCGCCAGGCACCGCCGCTCCTTCTCGAGCCTGCTGCGGACCTTCAATAAGTCCTACAACGCGGACGTCCACATGAGTAGGGATAACGAGGTGTTGGACAGGAGGCACATAACTCTAGACTCCTCCTCGGATTCAGACTGCGCTATGAACGAGCCCGAAACGGGCTACGTCGGCAAGAAGCTACGGAACCCCTTCAACGTGCTGAAGCGGCTATCGGAGAAACGCGCCGGGCAATGTTTCCCTTACGAGCCGAGTGCAAGCACGAGCACGGACTACAGCCATGTGGACCTCACCGTAAACGACCCCTACAACGAAGTGCTAGTCAAGAGTATCGGCGATAGGTGGCTGCCCTGCAGGGACGACTTCGGCCGGCCCGAGCTCCCGGCCCCCGGCGCCCGAATGCTCACCGACAACCTGATCTACAACTACGCGAATTACCACCCGCGCGACTGGGCCAGCTGGCCCGAGCTGAAGGTGGCCTACTTGGCCAGCGTCGAGGAGAGCGCCCGCGCCTTCGCCCGCGAGGCGGAGGAGTGCTGCTCCATCGTGAAGCCCGAGGACTGCGCCGATATGGCCACGGTCCTGAGCAAGCTGAGCATCGTCAAGCCCGCCGGAGACCCCGCCGAGGAGACCGCCCTGAGGGTGGTGTACGACGTTTACAATAGGGACGTGCAGAACTTCAGGAAGACCAGCCCGCCTACGCCGCATTTCAGGGTGCTGTGCTTCGAGTGAGTACCAAACTGTTGCTAAGCTTCATTTTAATACCCCCTCAAGTGTGATTTTAAGTGGCCTGTGTACAATTTGAGTATGTAGTCCGTGTGCATTGAGTACGTCGCCAGGCTTATCACCCGTGTTAGGGGATAAGAACTCGGCGAAATGTTGATGGCAGTGGGTATATCTCACATTTAAAATCTCTGGATCCGATTGTTTTCTTAAAATGAAGGCTTGGCAAGCGAGCAAATGTTTCAACCAATGTACAACATTGGGTTGCAGAATGCTACTAACCATGTAAAAATGGACCCCAATAACCTCACTCACCAAACGCCAAAGTATTACTTCCACTTCAAGCAGATCTTCTGTGAGGCCATGATATTTCCCGAGATGAGTCTGACCATTTGTTCCCAAAATTAAATGGAGTATTAAAAACTTATTATTTTTGTGTGAATTTGAGCGAAACCTTTTCGGCTCGTGACATAAGGTCACAGGTTGGAATCCTAATTCTATGAACCCGTGACAACAGAATTCCAGACCTCAAATGGGAACTCCATTTGAGGTCTGGTGAACTTGTTAATAATCAAGCCATTTGTCTACCTAATTTAATAGAGGCGAGATGTTTATTTTACATTTATTGTCTGATCTCATATAATAATTGTGATATTTGTCTTACATGTTTCAGTCAAACTTCGACCTTTCCCGCTGGCGAAGAAATAGCAGGTCTCCAATCGAAATACAAGGATGGAGTGCATATAGTTTTCGCAATTGTCAACGAGGGAACGGTCAGTTATTTACAGATAAAAAATGCCAACTTACCTATGTATTTTTCCAACAGCAGTGTAACTTAGTCCTTAAATAACTTAAAAATGACTTGTGTTTCGTATTTCTGTATGGGTGAAGTGAAACCATTTCCGTGTTGCAATGTATTTATTATAGAAACATTTGTAACAACAACAATGTCATGTGTCATATTTTGTAATATTTAGTTTTAAAGCTATTAATTAATTTTTTCCTAAGCGATTTCATGGCTCGTGTAAAGTAAATTGGCTCGGCGCGTTCCTACGTCGCTAAAGTAGCTAGGACTTAAAAATAGTTTAACCTATGTAACAACAAAGCAAATACAGCACCTTAACAAGTAAGAAGTTCTCTATCCGTTCAAACACCTCGGAATAACAACCAACATATTATATAACAAATAAATAACTTATTGAACATGAAGTAAATCAAATTATCTAATTTGTGTTTTATTTTAAATAATTACAAAAATTACAATAATTAGACTACACATTGCTTACATTCTATTTTCGTGTATGTACACAACCAGATAAAATCACAATCACAACTTGATTTCTCCTAATTTCACATTGGAAATAAATTTTAAAGTACTATAATATATATATATATATATATATATATATGTATATATATATGTATATGTATATGTATATATATATATATGAAAAAACGTGTATGTAGTATACCATGCTACAAGTGTATGTGCAATCAGATATGTCAAGGACCTACCCAATTTAATGATTAGCCATCGTCAACTCTCTTAACTATTAACACAACCAATATTTTTCGCGTATTGTTATACCATTCTAGCAGCTAATGGATGATTTTTATTATAGTAGGAACTTGTTTATCGTTATAACTGACACCACATTGTTTACAAGATCAATAAGAAAGATAGAGAGCACAACCCATAGATGGCGCTAGAACCTTGTGAGAAATATAGTATCAGCTGTTTCATTCATTTCTAGAACTCTTATATTTGTACACCTAATTATAACAAATAATTACACTGGTTTTGGCTCTCTATTTAACAGCAATATTTAAACATATACATTCAATATAAATGTATAAATTGACTGAAATTTTCTAGTAATTTAATCTTAAGACAAAAAGACTAACTACACTAGTTACCCAGAGTATACATACAATAAATACCATTATACAATATCCGTAATTGTACCTGTAAAAAACTAGTGTATACAAAATTACCAATAGGTAAAGAATCGTGTAAACGTAGTGATTAACAATAATTGATAATAAGTATACTACAGAGTAAATGATATGAATGATTTACGTAGAAACCTAAGCCTTTCTTGTCAGCACTGTACTCATTTAATGAAACTATTACTTAAAATTATATAGCAGAAAAATAATACGACAATTTTAACTTAGTTTCTTGATAACGAGACGTTTTTCATATTAAACTTCGTTAAAATATTCTCATTCAATAATGAACTTATACCTTATAATACATTCAAGAATGAACTTATACAATATATAATCAGAAACAAACAGACTTTTATTTGCCTACCTTATTATACTACGTTCAAACGCCACATATGGCATATAGCCATATATGGATCTGCTGTATAAAAGCTTTTAGAAAAATACGATATTATTAATTGAAAATCGGCGCAAATTTTACGTTCAGTTAAACAATGCACATTCCATTCACTGGAAAACATTCAACGAAAACAGTATTTAAAATTTACGACCAATACATGTGCCACTGGGGAAAAAGGTCTCCGAACAGTGTGATAATGGATGCTTTCTGCACATCCATATGTTGGATACGATTTCTAAATTTGCCGAAATGGAAGAAATTGCATTCAAGGCCATCCGAAATTGATTCCGGACAACTCGTAGAACCGTTCGTTGTATGGCCTGTAGTATTCCCTCAGCCTTTCGATGACCACTGGATCTATATAAGGGTGGTTACGACCTTTCGTCTTTCCGAGACAGTGCGGCGTGGGCTGGCCTTCGGACTTGAGCAGGCAAGGGAAGCCCTTGGTGGAGTTGAAATAGAAATGCTTGTCGGTTATCACGCGCTTCAGGCCTAGGAAATCCTGTTTGGGAAAGAGAAACGTTAATACTACGTGATAAATCTTTTATGGATCAATGTATAAGTTTATACAAGTAAAAAATTATACAAATAAAAAATAAGTTTATACAAGTAAAAAAGTCAGGTTCAAAATGTATCAGTTGCAAAATTCGAAATAAAATTGAAAACACACTCAGGAAACGAATTGATCACTCAAAGCTCTTTCAAGTGGACTCTTTGATTACAAGTATATAATCAAAGAGTGGACTATAGACTATAATGTCAGTAAAAAGTAAGGTCAAATAATTCTTAAAAAAATTGTCTCAAGACTTTCTTTCGCCGGCTCTTCTCAGGTCAGTGGTTTCTTTTAAGAACCGGTAGTACTATTTTGAAAATCTATAAGCAAGTTTAATGCTTCTATAGTGAATAAAGATACTTGAATTAGGTACGGAAATTATAATGCAAATGGCATAGTTGCTGCGAGTATACGGGTGAGTTTTCGGTTTTTCTGCTTTCTTAACAGATCGGAGTCAACAAAAGACCTCATATTTCAATAACTGTGGTGGGGCCACGCAACAACTTTGGCTGTAAGTACCACGATCTCACAGAAGACCGGCGTGACGTGGAAGTGACATATTTATTCGTTTCGTCTGGTGAGTGATATGGGCGGGGCCCGCTTTATTAAAAGGTGACAACGCATCTGCAACTCCCACGGGTGCTGCAAATGTGCCAAGTGCGGCGGTTGTCAACATCACGGTAACCTCCAAATCCCTTGCCACCTTCTCACATAAAAAAAGACTCGCGATTGCGAATGCAAGAGCAAGATTAGAAAAGCGAGAAAACCGTTAGACATCACTCTACCCCAGGCATAATTTAAAAGACGATTGGGATTGATACTTTTTGTAAATTAATAAAGACGACCCAATGGTGACACAGTCGCCATCAATTCGGGCGCGAGACCGACTCGAACTTTTCTACTATATACACTCTCTTTATCCACTATCATCTTTATCATCTAAACGGCCGACTGTTGACCTGCACGGCGGCCATTTCGGCGGCGGGGTCGGCGACCAGCCGCTCGCCGCTGACGAGCAGGATCCTCGAGCGGGGGAAGCGGCGCAGCCAGCGTCTGAACGCGCGCGCGTACACGCCCAGCCTCAGCGGCGGCCACGAGGGGTCCACCGCCGGCCAGCCCCCCCAGCCGCCCCAGCCCCCTCCCCAGCCCCCGGACCAGTTCACCAGCGCCAGTTGCTCGAAGCGCGGCAGCCGCGCGCGCTTGCTGCTGATAACGGGCCTTGCAATCCTTTTCTATTTTGTGTGGAAGGAGTTGGGCAGCAAGTCTGCGATGAGCACTGGATTAGAGAAGATTGTACTTCTCTTCGAAAATATTATCCCTTACTGTAGGATACGAGGTCCCGGTGTAAGGACTGACTACACTATTGCATTTGCGGTGATTATAGTTGTATGTGAGTTACACAAGGTACACCCGCGTTCCGGGGCGATTCTCACCGCCCCCAGCCACCGATTAGCTAATTGCACAGTCGACGGCCATCGGGGTTTCGGTCCGAACCACGACCTCGATGGCCCTTAGATGACGTACCATAGTTAAACGCACGCATGAGCACATGCGTGGCCCTACCCACAGCGGAGGGCCCAAACCCGTGGGTTCTGGCTAGCCCACCGGTTCTGCGTCAGATGAAGCTTTAATAGTCTCGGGACTGAAAGCAAAAACATCAGTTAATACAAGATACAAGATGTATGTGAGTAAATAAATCTATCGGCAGGGCTACGTTAATGCACTCGTACACATTCATGACCGCAGCTCCTCTCAACAGAAGGTCAAGGTTACTAAATATTACTTTGAAGCATGGGATGCTAGCTGCGATCTTCGGATACGATCCAGAGTTTCATGTAAAAAAGTAAGAAGTAAAGTAATAGCCTATGCCCCAATACTGAGTAATTGCCTCCTCTGTACAAAAAAGGGTTCGTTTGTTAACGTAGTCCACCACGTGATCCCACTGCGAAATATTTCGTATAACACTCCTGTCAATGTTTCGCAAAGATGCAGGAAAAACGTGAGGAGACTCGCGTTTTCCCTCACCGCTGAACACATATCTAAGTCATCACATTTCACAACAATTTCGTAGGTGCCGGCAGCACGATTTGAACTCTGATAACATGAGTAATATAAGTAAACCAAATTGAAAGCGAGTGCCCGGACACTGTGTCGGATGATTAAGTTAATTTATTTAGGGTCCATAAGTAAATTTTTGTGAGGGCAAGTTGTGCGTGGTGGAAATGATCTGAATGAATGAATTAATTAATCTAGCTTGTCCGATTTTAGGCGGTTGAATTTGCCACGGAATGGAGAACACAGAAATTTGTTTTCTCTATTCCGTAGAATTTACCTCGCAGACTGCGTGTAATCGCTGATCGCCCTGGTCACCGGATCCCGAACGACCGCCAGCAACCTCACTCTGGGATTCATCGCGTAAACCCGCCTCGGTGCCGAACGGGTCACCCAATACGAGGGGGTCTTTTCCATCGTGATTTGGCCTTCCATCGTCGGCGGCATCTTTTGCCTGGACGGACGAAGGCGGGTCAATTTAAGCAAGTTTGTTTCGAAGGAGCACTGGCTGGCGATAAACAAGTATTTTCTTTATTATTTTAACCCACCAACAAGTAATTCACATTCAATGGGGTTTGCTTACACGTGTCGGACGCCGCCTATTGATAAACGACACACTTATCAAGTAGGTACCCGGAAGAAATATTTATAATGGACAAGTGAAAATATTTCTCCCGTGTGGGGATCGAACCCACAACAAGTAAAAGCAGCTACCTAAAGCAATGCATCATGCGAGCAAATCAGTTTTGTTTAATCAATCGTCAATGGAATGTCATATAAATATTAATAATAACTAGCAATCGGCCCCTACAACGCACAGGTTTAATGTATTATAAATACATATAAACCTTCCTCTTGAATCACTCTATCAAGTAAAAACCGCATCAAGATCCGTTGCGAAGTTTTAAAGATCTAAGTATCCATAGGGACAGATAGACAGCGGGACGAGTTTGTTTTATACTATTAGTGATATAAATATTAAAAGCACGGACCCTCAGGAACCCATTCAAGCGGAACGGACACTTGACCGGTTTTTTAATGAGCATCAATGAGAAAATTATTCGCATCCTTAATGTTAAAGGTCGAGTATATCGTCCATTTATACTATATCTAGCACAGACTATGTCCGTCCACACCTACTTTTGCGTTTCGTCCGGATTTGAGAAAACCAGAGACCAATACCGTCAGTTATTGGCACGATACGTGTCACGTATCGCTTGTTGCGAATGACGATGGACAGCATCCTTACTTACCTTAAGCCGAATGGCTAGGGCAGTTGCCATTTACATTCTTTGAAATAAAAAAAATTGCCGATGTAAATCACAGAAGCCAAAGTATCGCCAAAGAAATATTTTTAAAATATAATGCTCACCTATACCATTCGAAACCCTTGTGATAAAATTTATCGAAGAAATGTACTTCCGATCCAGCAGCCCTCACATCCGGATGCAATCTGAAGTTTCAAGGCATATTTACGAATAGATTTAGTTATTTTGTAAGTGTGAAAGGTCCAATATAAAATTGAACTAGTTTAGGTTTGCTTATTTTTTATATTAATTATGTACAGTATAACTAACAACTTTTTATAATAAAATAAAACCACTGGAAATATGAAAACAATACAATTGTATTTGTTATTTTAAAATTACTAAATATTTCGTCAAACGTATTTTAAACAACTAGTTGTGCTTTTATATATCGGCGATCTATACTTTGATTAGAATCTATATGAAAATGTCCGAGTTTTGTTCTTTAAACAAAAACTAAAGGGTAATTCGGGACGTACTACATACTTTCAAAACTTCTGAATGAGTCATCATTTCGAAAATCAAACAAATTATTTGTTTTTGAAAAATTACCTTAAAAATTCCAACAGTGCGCGCGTGCCACACTTCTTGACTCCAATAATCAGCACGTCTGGCAGTCTCTTAGTCGGCACCAAATTTTCCTTTTTCAGTCTTCTATATTTATTTTCAAATATATTTTTTGTGTTATAATCAAGATAAGAAGCAAATCGCAACGTTGCACTTTTATAATTTGAAATTTGATGATAATTAAAAAAAGACTTGAAATTTAACTGAAAAGAAAAAATAAATATTGTTTTAGTAAATTTCTGAACGATTAAGTATATTATTTCGCTATAAAAAGGAACTTACCTTGGATTCCTTGATTAAACAAAAATTCAAAACATAAAATAAATATAATAGAAACAATAACACGAAATATATAAAAATAGTTCGTTTTGGAAGAGTCTGAAGGCATATTTTCATCGCTTTTCTCGTTATTCATTGCTTTGTTTGTTCTTCACTTTGAAGGAGTCTTTGAGATTATATCACTCCAAATACTGAAAACATGTAAACAAAATATGCAGCAAAATTCACAGCGATGAATGTGTATAACGAAATCAACACGATTACGATATAGTACTGACGTAAGGTAAAGAATCGCAGTGCGCAAACTCGAAAGCATGAATTCCGATTACTTAATAATGTGTCGATGAAAATCTGTATGCATTTACCATTTAAACCATTTCACTATTATTTTTATCTTAAACATAGGTGAGTACCCAAGTACATACTTAGGATAAAGACTTTTAAATTTAAAAAAATAAATACTATCTTTAGTTTACCTATACACTATCACTAAATCTTTTGTTAGTAAATTTGATTCAACTTAAAATTCAATGTTAAATAAAAAAAACTATCTTAGGCCAAAATTAAGTCGAAATGTATCTCGGGACACACCGACTTGCATTTTTTATTGTCCAACCAAATTAAAATAGTAAAATATAAGTTTCTTTTACTTTTAGTTAATAAAATAATACTTGTTCATTTTTGCATGACTCTATTTATTTGTAACAATGAGGGATTATTAATTAAATTATTTCTTAAAACATAATAGGCTGTTTCGAGAAATTATATTGACAATTAAAAAAATTAATTGACAACTATCCGAATAATTGGTACTGCCAACCTGAGGAAGTAATATATGACAGACGGGCGACAACTAAATAAAAAGAAATTTTGTTGTGCTGAACTTTGTAGCTGTAAAAATAATTTAAAATGACAGTGCAACAGATTAACTCGAATATTTCTGACGACTCAGATGATATGGTTAGCTTACCATCAGAAGATGAAATTTACAGACGAAAATATCAATTATTGTTAGAACGATGTGAAGTATTGCAACAGGATAACGAAAGAATTGTGAATAGGTCCGTGTTTATGCCGCGAAGTTATTATTTGTAACTTATTCGGACTTAAAATAGAAATTCTATTATTACAGGATACATGAAGTGAAAAGAATTACTAAGCGGTACAGGAAAGATATAAAACTATTAATCGAGCGACTGGATAAACATGGCGATCAGTTCAGAACATCATCCGTTGAAGTGGATTCAAAGCCTGAGATGACACCGAGAGTTGCTCGTCCAGTCCCGAAGACGCATCAGGTGACACGAAATGTTGAAAAACAAAATCCCAATGGAGGCAAGAAACCAGCTACCAAAAGAAAAAGTAAAGCTGACAAGGTAAACTTTAAATGTTATACTTTAATGATATACACGCTTTATTTCCTTTTTCTTCAGATATAGTTCCTTTCTGCTTTAATGAACTGTTTTATAATATAATCATGTTAACCAATTTATTTATAACAGCCAGAAAGAGACCCAAATGCCCCAAAAAAGCCATGCAATGCTTTCTTCCAATTTTGCCAAGAACAGAGACCTTTAGTTGTAGCTGAAACTACGTCAGAAATGGGTACAGAACCTTCCAAACAAGAAGTGACCAGACAATTAGCATCAAGGTGGCGAGCTCTAACAAATGATGATAAAAGAGTAAGTAGCTTTATTTAATAAGCAGGTTGGTTAAATTATAGGATAATCTTTTTTTTTTTTATATGGTGGCAAACTAATGGGTCGCTATCCTGATTACTGGCATTTTAATGGATTAATAAATTTTAACAAAACTTGGGGCTTGCTGATTTCAGTAGGTGGCCTCTGTTTTGTCATTTTTCAGAAGAAATAGAGAGTATAAATACTTCTATCTTAGCCTGTATTTAGGTAACAACAAAGTGCTGTACTATCACAATAAATCACTCTTAAACTTAAGTCTTTTTGGTGGTTTAGTTGATGTCAGCTTATTAGCGGCATTTTAATTATTGTCTCACCTGTCATGTTGTTCAATTCAAATTATAAAAAATCATGAAACAAGTTGTAAGGTCTATTTAAAAAAAAATGCCTAATTCAAAATTTTGCTTTCTAACAGCTACCATTAAGATTAGCTCAGCCTATAGCTTTCATGGAGAATGTTTTGTGTTTAACAGAATTTTTTTACTTTGTCGTGCCTTTTTTTTTAGCTGATGAAACAGAATAGTAGAAGTAATTCCCACATTTTAAAGGTTGCACAAAACTAAAATATTTAGGCATGAATGGGCAGGCTCATCCGTGTAAGTACTACAACCTGACAGAAGACCGGCGTAAAGTGGAAGTATAATACTTTTGCATTTCGTCTGGTGAGTGAGGTGACCGGCGCCGGAAAACAAACATCGGGAATAATTATTCCCTTTTTTAACTGCAACATTCAAAAAATGGTTAAACATAAATCATAAAATAATGGGTTTAGGTTAGTTTTCTTTCCTCATTACACATAATTGTTGTTTCAGGTGTATGTGGCTATGTTTGAGAGATCAAAAGAAAAGTATGCAGAGGAAATGTCAGCATATATAAAAAAGGAGCAATGACTGCTAGATCAGCATTAGCCTGTAACACTCTTGTGATAGAAAGCTTTAAGTTAATTGTTATTAAAATGTTTTATGGTCCAGTAGCATTTTCAGTTGTCGTAATATATTAAACCTGTATCAAAATTATGGCAGACCTCTACTATAAGGATTTTTACTCTAGGATGTTAGAATATCAAAATGTCATCTAGTTTTTAAGCACATTTAAATATTTTGATAAAAATCACATATAGAAGAATTTTTTGTTAAGATTTTAAGTCGGAAGAGTACATATGTGTGTAAATAATACTAATAACAGTATAAATTGTTTATAAAACATTGCATTTATTTTTAAATATAAAGACTTTTAATAACAATTTAACCATAATCCAACAACAAAATATAATGTACAAAATAATGTAAATAAAGGCCTATTTACTCAGCCCTTGAAATTATCCTTTTCAAGGCGAATAGCTTTCATAGTTTCTATGGGATCATTTTTGTTTGCATGTTTCATGACAGAAGGCTGCATTACTCTCATGAATGGATTGTATGATTTTTCTTCTGCAATCGTTGACGGCACCTGAAAGCATTATAATCATACAAATCATGCAGTACACACTTGTATTAACTGATGTTTTTGCTTTCAGTCCCGAGACTATTAAAGCTTCATCTGATGCAGTAGTACACACTCAATGCTATTATAATATTCTTCATTTTATAGTTTCATGAATTTGTGTTATACTACAGAACTTGATAATTTGAGATAAATATGTGTGTGTACATATTTACATAGTCAAAGAAATAGAATTAAACTTCTTATTATTACATATTGTATTAAAATCTGTAAAAAAAATCAGTAATACTATGAATTACTGATAAATTCACACAAATCTACAATGTTTATGAGCTGGTGATATTGATTCTGACTTACCGTTGGCTTTCCATCTTGCCTACGTTCCCTAGACCAGTTTATCTTTTCTTTTACATTTTCATTTTCTGGTTCAACATGTGCAGCAAATTTTAAATTTTGCAAAGAATATTCATGACCACAGAACACATTTGTCTGGTCAGGAAGGTTGCTTAAGACTTGGATTAATGCATGATGCATTTGTTCCGCCGTGCCTTCAAAGAACCTGCCACAGCCACCTAAGAATAATGTATCTCCTGCAAAGAATAGTATGTTTAAATAGGTAATAAAATAAAACCAAGCCCTTTTTGACTATTCACAAAAAGAGTGTGAAAAACAACCTCATTAAGGGAGGAGCAGTAACTTAAAGCCATAGTGCTTGACACATACAAAATTTAAACAAAAAAAACAGCAGTTTACTACTAAAGTTGGCAAGCATCGTCATCATCCTCCTGACCTTATCCCACCTAGGTGGGGCAGCACAACATGTACCATGATGTAAGCGGTTTTTGAGCTACTTTTTTTATGACAGGCTGCCTGCCTGACGTCAACCCTGACGATCTTTTTGTGTGACCTACAGATCTGTGGGTCACACAAATACTTATGCCGTGTGGGAATGGAACCCACGACCGCCGACGCCGAAGCCAATAGCTTAGCAAGGGCGCCACCCTCAAAGTTGCCAAGCATGTTTCCGATAACTGGTAAGGTTTAGTTTGTTAGAACTATCGTGTGCGCCGATTTGAGTTTTGGTAGAAGTCAATTACAATGCTTAAAAATGAGGTTTTTTTATGTGAGAAGGTGGCAAACGAGCTGGTGGTTCACCTGATGTTATGACCACAGCCATTGAAATATGCAACACCCATAGGGTTGCAGATGCGCTGCCACCTTTTAGAAATTTAGTTCGAAGTTGAAAAATTTTGTTAATACATTCAATGTTACCCAACGTTGTTCAACTAGAATCATACATTACTTTTTAGTGAAGGATCAACTAATTCAAAATGTTTATTTTAAAATAAAGCTAGAAACTTCTGTTACCTGTGAACACAGCTGAATCTTCTCCTTCATCGGGAGATGTGATGTAATAGCAGATATGACCAGATGTGTGGCAAGGTGTTAATAGACATTGAACATTCAGACGACCAATGTTGAAAGTTGTATTATGCTGAACTTTCTTAGTCAATGCCACAATACGGTCATCACCACCATATACTTTCAGACCCGGATGCATTTTTACCAAATTCTCATTGCCTCCAGCATGGTCCCTGGATTTTTTTAAATAGTGTTTTACATTTTACATTAGCATTTTTACATTTGTTAGTATCCAATTAGAAATTGTAATATTGAATTGTGTAGTTTTAATTTTTTATTATCCATGTAATGTTATTCACAAAATTACTATTTTAATTAAAACAAAATCTAAGATGTTGCACATATCTTTATATTAAATAAATTTTTATGTTTTTATATTTTAACGTTTTGGGGATGTATGCATTGATGGAGTCGAGAAACTTGAATTACAATGTATAAGTGCCACTTAGTAAAAATTGTTCAAAATAAAAATGAAAGATTTTACCAGTGATGATGAGTTGTAAGCACTGTTGTGAGTTTAACACCATTTTCTTGAACCGCCTTAATTACTGTATTAGGTTCTACTGGATCAACAATTGCTGCCTCTTTTGTTGCCTTGTCCACAATCAGATACATATAATTATCCTGTAGCGCTGGCAAAATTTTAACATCCATTGTGTCGTACACCAGATGTTCTTGGCTACTGTGAAACCCTTGCTGCTTCCAAGTCAAAGCTGTTAAATAAATATAATAATAAAATATAACTTTGTTTTTTATACAATGGTTATATTATTTGTCTGTTCATAAATGAAATGCTGACTTCTGTCTAACTCATTCAACTATTTATTTTAAGTGTATCTTATCCTTTAAACGAGCAATTCTTGTATATATATATATAATCGGAATCTCGGAAACGGCTCCAGCGATTTTCATGAAATTTAGTATGTGCGTAGATTATCTTCTTATCCTTTAAACGAGCAATTCTTGTATATATATATATATATAAAATCGGAATATCAGAAACGGCTCCAGCGATTTTCATGAAATTTAGTATGTGCGTAGATTAGGGGGCAAAAAATCGATCTAGCTAGGTTTCATTTTTAGAAAATGTCCTTTTATCCCTGTTTTCAGGGAATGAAAAATATCATTCGAATATGACGGTAAATTTCGCCGCAAGAGAAAATGTCATAATAGCTCGGTCGGTAATCGAGCGGCCCCAAAACAGGCGGCCGTGGTTCGCGTCACGATCATTTACACATTTATTTTTTTACTTTTTTTTCGATTCCAGATCATTGCTTTCTTTATTTTTAATTTTTTGTCGATTTGTTATTTTGTTATTTTTTTCCCTTTTTTTAAAGTTCTTTCTTTTGTGAAAAACATCAGTTCATATTTTCTTATTATGACGTCGGTAAGATCGAAAAATATTATGCAAATTTCAATACTCAGTAATTTGTATCTAAATGTAATTTCCAAAATACATGATTTACCAAAAAAAAAAAACAAACAGAAAAGCTCGGTCCTCCGGGTACTTGTTATTTATATACACAAAGAAATCCTCAAGGAGACATTAAATCTCTTTTAAACCTACCAAAATTAAATTTACAAGTGTTAGTAGTTAGGTAGTTATCTATAGGTATGGACTATGGCCAGATAATTCTGCTTGTTGTTTATTTCATTATACATTAGTGATATTCCTTTAATGAATTTTTTTTAAGGTGGCATATCACCCGGCGCTAAGAGAAAATTTAACCCTGATTTTTTCTCAACAACAATGTTTAGAAAGTACATTGAAAATACATGGAACATAACAATGTTAGGTTTCTATTTCTAAATCACTGTATATTTTTTTAGAAATTGTTCAAATATTTTTGAACAATTGGTAACTCATTGTTAAGCCCGCTTTCTGAAACACTTATCAGTTGGCTTCTACGTTGATCGGTGTTTCAGAAACCGGGCGTTAAGTCTTGAAAGAAGCAGAAAAATATTGTTACATTTTCTTACCCCGAAAATATAGTTTGGTAATTCCTTGTGACAGGCCCAACGGCAGTGAATTTATAGCCCTAGCAAGCATTGAATAAAACAAAAAAATTACGTTAATCCCTACAATGTTGATATTTTCAAATTCATTTAAAGACGTACAACTTATGAACTTATTATCAACCGGTATTGTCAATGTCAAGTCAAATGTCAAATTCACATTGTCATTTTGTATCAGTGTTGCTAGTTGCCAACAATGCAAGGCCTGATGTCGCCCTTTTTTCCAGCTCTAGTAAGTCCAAGACTAACGTAGCCTAATTTCAGCTTTTGTAACCTTAACTAGCACGAACACCAAAATATCACTATGGAATTAAATCAACTTGTTTATTTACACCTACTATAATAGCCATAAAAGCTTAGTTTGTGACATTAACCTAACGTAAAATTACAAAACATGATTTAATTCAGCTTCGTCTTCCAGCAATAATAATGAACCAACCACATTTTCGCCGTCAACGTTATTAGTGGTAGCTGATGTGGCTGCTATGCTAGTACTGGCGCAAGCTTGGCTTGGACTGCGGGAGACGTATATTTTTCCACAAGAATGTTACACATATTTTTCCATGTTCTTATCACAAAACAAATTAATGCCTTTCAAATTATTGATAAATTTCTGAGATTGCCTGGAAGAAATTGCTGTGTAGCAATAAGTTCGCCATTTGATGACCAATATTTGATAAATATTTTGTTTAGTTCTGTACTTTTTTCTTTTTTGGTGTACAATAAAGCATATTATTATTATTATTACTTTCTACATGCTCAGGATACGTTTTTAACTAAAATTTTCCTAATTATTTCATCAATATAATAAAGACAATTGCGGTAGTTATTAACCGCAAAATAAATATATATTACTACACTGCATCCTAAATTTGGTTACAAAGGTAAAAAAAAATCTTGGTATTCCCGATAACAACTAAAAACAAACCAATAAGCCTATATCTTTTTTATTACCACAGACCTAAGTGAGGCTATGATTTTTATTAAAAGATTATGTTCATTTGTTATTTTAAATAGCTTTCCTCTGAACTAGCCCAGAAGGCAACAACGTTGTTGGCAGCACTGATCAGCCGATTCAGTTCCCGCCGGATAACACTACACCCACAGTTAGTGCAACAACAAACACCCTAGTTCGCCCTCGCCTCCCAAGATATTTGAGGTCGGTTTTGTTTTTCGTTAATAATGTTGATTGGTAATCTCAGATTATACATACTCTTTTGATATCAACTCTGACCTATTTGATTTATGTATTATGTTTGAATTACTTTAATTTTGGAATGTTAGTTTTATTTGTTCGGACTGAATTGTCATATTTGATTGATTCCGTAAAAATCGTTTGGAGAAGTAACATGTCTATTTATCTGACATAACTCCTGTATTTTATATAAATTTCATAATCATTACGTTTGGTCTAAAATAAGTTCAAATAAATAGTTTTCTTATCACTCCTTAAGTGTCTTTTCGGTTTCAAAGTGATCCCATGAGTGGCTCATGGGATCACTTATTCTAGAAATAAAAATATGAACTTCTTTTTCAATCAATCGTATTATGCTATCAGTTGTCCGATTAAAAAAAACGTTTTGTTCTTTCGTATTTCACTCACATTTTTTTTTATATAATTGATTAAATCATTTTTTTTTTGGAGATACTGACTACGGATTTGGAAAAAATATGAGAGTAAAACTTTTACACAACATGGTGAAGTTTGTTGCAAAGCAATAACTTTCATGGTATTATCATGGCAAATAATAACAACTTTTTAACATTTACATTTTACCTTACCTTTTCGCTGTTGCACGAAGAGGGAGGTCCGTCTGGCGAGTGAGGTAGTCAGGCCCCAATTTATTAAACAGTAGCAACGCATCTGCAACCCTACTTTGCAGATTGGGCGGCGGTTATCAATTAATATCAGGTGAACTGCCATTTAGTTTGCCACCTTCTCACATAAAAATACGGTATTATAATTAAAATAATAAGAAAAATATATTAATTTCAGTACTAAAATTCTACTCTTCATTCATCATTTTACCCCATGTTAATTTTTTTTTATTTACTTTTATATAGGTGATACGTCAATGTCAAATAGCAATTGCCAATTGTCAAATGCACGTGTCGCTGTCGCCGACTTCAGTGTAAATGTGCATGTTTAGATTTTGCTGTTGTCATTTTTAATAAATAATATGTATTTTCTTATCATGTACATTTGTAGAAGTTAAACGGATTAACCAATCAAAACATTAAACATGAAAACGAAACCCGTTAAGCACAAAACAACCAACACCTTCCGGGTATGTAATAAATTGCATATTGCTTTTAGGTTACGAACTTTTTATTTGTTGATTTTATTAGTATAACTTATTTTTTTCTAGTTTATTCCATTTGCGGAGCGAATAAATTCTATTGACATTCGCCATGCTGCATTATATCATATTGAACATGCATACACCAGCCACCCAGAAGAAAATGAAACTCACTTTTATTTAGCCCTTCAGAAATGGCATGTGCTTAATTTAACAGAAAATTTTAAAAAGTTTAAGAAAGAAGTCTTTGGAGTCATTACCATTGCACAGTTGATACACAAGAAAGATGAAGTATTGGAGATAGTTGAAAGATATTTGAAGCTAGAAGACCAATTATGCTTACAACCATTACTGGAGTAAGTTTTTTTTATTTAGTGTAATATGGTGCTTAATGTTTGTTATTGTGGTTCAAAATAACTATCATCATAATACTCTTGTAGAGTTATACTGTATAAATTAAAATACAAATAAAAGTGATTGTTTATATTGCAGGATTTTAGTTTCATTAGCAAAAGATTTAAGAAATGACTTTTATCCTTACTTTCCAAAATTTCTTGATATTCTTATAAAATTATTGAACACAAAGGATCCCGAGAGGTTAGAATGGACGTTGGTGTGTTTGGCATTTCTGTTCAAAATCTTGAAGCCATATTTGAAAAAGGATATAGAGACTGTTCTTAAGAGGGTTGTTCCTCTGTTGAGTGACAGTCATCCACAATATATCAATAACTTTGCTGCAGAGAGTTTTGCATTTGTTGCAAGAGACATAAGGGATAAAAGCAAATTTATTCATCACTTATTAAATTACTTGCTTACTAATGATCAAGTATGTACACTTTTACATTTCTTTCAAAACACTTGCAATTTTATGTTCAATGCATTTCATAACATGGCTTTTTCTTTCAGGCTATTGTGGGCACTGGGCATCTAATATTTGAAATTTGTAAAGGAGTTTCAAGTAAATTTCATAGTTGTGCTGAAACATTTATTCCCTTACTACTCCAACATTTAAAAGCAAACAAAGAACACCAAGAAGTATTATTTAAAGTCCTAACACAAACTCTTGAAGATGCATTACAAGGCATATCTCACAAAGAATTTCCAATATTTTGGTCACCAGTCTTGAAATTTATAGAAGATAATTTAAAAGAAAACAATAGTGAAAGCAGGTATTTGGATTATGTCTTGCGACTGGCTGGTCAAGTGATTGAGAGGCAAAATGGAAAGTTTCTTACAAATCCTCAACAGTTCTCTGTTTTGCTTGTTAAAGTGATTTGTGGACAGTCATCTGAAGATATCTTGGAAGTATGTGCACAAATTGGCGCGCTGTTACTACTTTCATCTAACATACTTTTGTCACAAGAACATGCAGGCATAATTATAAAAGCTTTGGTGCCTTTACCATACCCAAAAATACTCATAAGTTTTGTTGAGGGTGTTATAGAGTACTCTCAGTTTGATCTACATATACTTCCACCATTTTTAAACTTTGTCATACAATCAAATTTCAATGATGATGCTATGAATGCTTTGTCAAAAATATGTTTAGTCAAGTCCCCATTATCAAAGAATGGATTAAAGCTCTTTGAGTGGGTGAAATATCCTCTTAATTTTGGGAAAGGCCTTTCATTGGTTATGGAGTATGTACAAAATGTTCTTAGTAATAAGGTTGAAAGCCAAATTGAAAGCCCAGATAAATTAATGACTGTTTTATTCTGTTTACCACATATTGAAAAACTAGATGTTGAATTATGTATTCAAAAAATGACAAGTCTTATATGTCGCTTGTTGGAAATCTTGGATGGTGAAGTTCTCAATGATAAAACGGAGGAAAACAAGATACAATGCAATAGTGACAAAAAAGCAATATACATTAGAAAAGTGTTGTTTATTCTTGCCAGTGCAATAGAGTGTGTTGTACATATATCCAGTTGTAAGAGAATAAAGGATATTTGTGACATTGATAAACTACTGCCTGTGATAGTTCCACATACCGCAGATCCTAACTATTTGGCTGCATTGCAACTTCTTGATTTATACTTGACGGCCTACGAGCATGAACATGGATTGACATATGCATTTTTATCTTTAGTTGACTCTTATATCAGGCCAAATGTCTCATCACCATTTCACATTGTAAGTAAGCAGAATTTATAACATTTTTATTCATTTAATCTGTTTGTACCTTGAAATATTTGATTCTTTACAGGTTCGATTGTTAACTACGCATATCTACAAACTATTTGAAAATGTTGAGGAACTGAATAAGACACCACAGACTGGTGCTGCCATTGAAAAGTTCTCGATTTTCAGCAAATGTTTCGAAGTTGAATCAATTTCTCCATCAATTCAAGAATATAGAACTCAAATAAATATTTTGCAGAAAATGACATTTAACACAACGCAGTACGTACTAGCAAAAGGAACGGACTTCCATCTTTTCGCTTTAAAATATATGCTTGGCGTGTTGTATATAAATTTTAAGCTACTTTGGGAACCCGTGACAGAATTTATTGCGGGGTATGGAAATGCTCTAAACGCCGATGAATTTTGGCCTCCATTCTACGAAGTTCTTAAATTTTCTTTTACCAATGCAAGACATAACTTAGGATCCTTTCAGTTTGAGGATGAAATAAACACAGAGTTTGAACCTTTAAAAGATTTATACAATTCTTATAACAATATACCCGAAAAGCCAGACTTATATAATTACAGGAATTTGATTTTAAAAACGATGACTCATTGCATACAAGTTTGCGAGGCAAAAAATAGAGACGTGGTAGGAATTTTTCTGTCTTTTATTGAAGATGAGTATAAAAGAAATGATAAAACTAACGCTTTAAAAGTAGATATTGAAGTTTATAAAAATGATGAAATGGATATCAATGATGATGAATGTGAAGAAAAAGAAGATAATAAAATAGTATCAATGGAAGTTGACAACATAAAAGATTCAGAATCGGGAAAAATGGTCTTCAAAACACTCATAAATATTATGCAAGTCCTAGCTCAATTCAAAAATCCTAGAGCCTTACATAAAGAGCCAGTCTTTTGGGAACTATTTATGGATTTCTTGAAAAACAAAAATCCTGGCCTTCAGAAATACGCGCTAGACTGTGTTCTTAACTATAAAAACAAAAATGTTGTGGCATACAAATCAAATCTATACAATCTAGTTGATGACAAAAAGTTCAAAGATGAACTCACCCTGTTTAAAATAACCGAAGATTCACAAAGTATCCAACCAGAAGACAGAGAGCATGTGATTCCTATAGTGTTAAGAATTCTCTACGGCAAAATGACGTCCAAATTAGGGGCTGATAAAAAAGGGGGAGGCCAAACAAAGAGATCACTTGTTATGAGATATTTGAGTGGGTGTAAGGAGAATGAGCTGAAGATGTTTATTGAAATGGCGTTTTCATATTTTAAAGACTACATTACCATGAGCCCTAAAGAAATATACGATACTGTATTAAATAATCTGGATTTAAAATCAGTCACTTATCCTGGGAAAATTCATAGCGTTCTTAATTTATTTGACGTTGTACGGGAATACTTTGGTGGTTCGATGAAAGACCAATTACTGTGTGAGCTTTTTAAAATATTCTATGCGGTCTGTTCCCAAATAGCAGCCGTATTGAAAAATGGGGATAAAGTGCACGTGAGCTACATTAAAGTGATGAAAAATCTGAGGACTGTCGCTATAGGTATTTTAGGCAAGTTGTTTGATCAGTTTGATAAATACGTTTGGAGTAAAGAAGAATTGTTTGTCCTCTTTGAGACTCTTATTTGGCCTTTGACGACCAAACTTCACGTAGAAGGAATTCACAGTCCCACAGCCCTGTTAAAACTGTTTAACGTATGGTGCCAAAATCCTAGATATTACACTCTTCTCGTGACATGCTCTGAGAATGATAATAACTTGAGTGTTTTACCGGCGATATTTAAGTTACTGTTAGCGCCAAAAACTCATCCAGGGGTCGTTAATTTAATCTTGGACATGATTGAAAAGCTTTTGACATTGACAGAGGACGAAGAAAATAAAGATATACCGCCCATTGAAACTTTTAAGTCATTAGACGTAAACTGTGATTTGCCAGCGGAAATAAATTTTGGTAGTAAAATTCTGGTTCCCCATTTGCCCAACATATTGGAAGTTATGAAACGGCGCGTGGCGAACAGCGCTAAGTCAAATTCGGTTAATAAGAGAGATCTCTTGATTCTTTCGCGCGTAACTGAAATGGTTACCGTAGCAGAAATGTGCGATGATTTATTGGGTTTGCTGTTACCAATACTGGTGAAAAAAGTGTGCATGAATATGGCTGAAGAAAATATGGAATACTCTGTGAGTATAATTATCAATCTTTTGGGACACAGCGCCAATCCCCAACGGTACATAAAAAATTTCGCTGTACTGTTTAATAAAGTCGGCCCGGTTGACGTAAGGAAGCTGTTAATAAAGTTACTAGCTTCTATTGCTGAAAATGACACAGATAATAAGGATGTATTCTTAAAAATGGCTACCGTAATCACAGAACTTAACGCGTTTAACAAAAGGTGGATCGAACAACCTGATTTTGACAGGAGATTGGATGCCTATAAGGAAATATATAGAATGGCCGACAACAACGAAATAGGCGTGGATCTTTCAATACTAATTGTGAATAACTGTTTCTTCTTCATTCGTACTGAGAAAGATATTGGTCTACGAGATAGTGCTGGTTTGTGTTTAAAGAGAATTCTTCCCAAATTACTGCTCAAGTTCCGATCAGCCACCGACGGTCAATTTTTAATAAGAGACACCGTTTTATCCCTCATATCCACTGGAATAAGGGACAGTAAAAACGAAAACTTGCGCATCGAATCGATTTCATTACTGGGGGAACTTGCGAGGGAGTGCCCAGAGGCGGACGTTGTCCTGTCTGATCTAGCTCATTTCGTGAACAAGGAGGATCGTGAAGTGGACTTCTTTGACAACATCTGTCACCTGCAACTGCACAGGAGGGTCAGGGCTCTCTTGAAATTCAGCAAGGTAGCGCGGAAAATGATCAAGTGCCCCACACCGAGGACCTTGACCAACTTCATACTGCCGATGGCGTCAATGTACATTTGCGACGACAAATACGCCGACAAAAACTCGCTGATAGACGCGTCCATCGAAGTTATATCCACATGCTGCAGGCTGCTGCCCTGGTACCATTACGAGGTCATTCTGAAACTTTACTTGAACAAATTGAGGCACTCCAGTGAACATCAGAAGCAGCTGACGCGTATTTTGGTCGGCATAATCGACTCTTTCCATTTCGATTTTCTAAAGCGCAAAACGTTCAGTTGCCTAAATCCTTACTCACAAATATCCCTTCCGCTAAAACGCCAGAGAAAAATAAGACAGATGAAAACAACTTAGATAATGATGAGAAAGATAAAGATGAAGAAGACGAGACCAACCCTGAGGAACAAGATGATGAATTGTTGGATGATGTAGAAGACAACTTGCAAGTTGCCGATAAGAATGAGGAAATTGAAGAACAGACGACCAAAGAAATTGCTAATGTACCGGCATTCGAGCGAGTCACCAGCGTGTCACCGTCAGTTGTTAATAGAATTATTAAATCTTTGAGTTCAGGACTATTGCCGCAATTGAATCGGTGAGTTAATGATGTGCTCTGTTTTATGTTTTTAAGGAATACAAAAGTTCAAAGTTACTTATATATGTATGCATGTTATGATTCAAGATCGTATGACAAAATACTAGCCATACATCTGCATGAAAATGTATTTAGAGATAAAAGTAAAGTAAAGTATCAGCCTATACATGTCCCACTGCTGGGCAAAGGCCTCCTCTATACACAGGGTATCAGGGCATAGTCCACCACGCGGCCTTTCTGCGGATTGGTGTACTTCACATATCTTCGAAATATATTTTTTTTGTTATTATTTCGAAAATATGCAGGTTTCCTCACGATGTTTTCCTTCACCGCTGAGCACGTGATAATTCAGCACTTAAAATTGACAATTTCTTTGGTGCCGGCACCGGGGATCGAACTCAGGTTGCTCGAGTATATTGAATTAAAGACGAGCGCCCGGACACTGAGCTATCACGGCTCTATTTAGAGATATGTTACTTTAATTTAGTTAGATTATAGTCTACTTGTCGTACGATTGCACTATGCGTTTTAACTGTGGCATCGCCACGCAACAGCTGCAGCTGTTGCATGAATGGGTAGGTCCAGTACCACGACCTCGCAGAAGGCTGGCGTGATGCGGAAGTGTCATACTTCTGCGTTTCTTCTGATGAGTGACGTAGCCGGGGCCCAATTTATTAAAAGGTGGCAACGCATCCGCAACCCTATGGGCGTTGCAAATGTCTATGGGCGGCGGTTACCACTTAACATCAGGCGGACCTGAGAAGGTGGAAAGCTAGCAGACATCTTGCCACCTTCTCACAAAAAATGCTTTATTCGGCGTTAGTTCGCCACTTATCATATGCAACAATTATATATGCTTATATATTTTATTCGTTTTTGTATGACAATCAAACCAGCACGGTTTCGGTTGTCACTATCAGGTTCCGTATATCACGGTTCGATAATTTGCAGTGCTATTGGAAAGATGACAGAGCACGAGGAGTCCCACAAGCTGAACCGTCGGCGTACCGGCTTCTTGCGGCAAGAGGAGGATCTGGTCCGCGTGCCGATTGCCTTGGCGCTGGTCAAACTGCTGCAGCGGTTGCCCGGCGATATATTGAGGCATCAACTGCCCGGGTGAGTTGGGACACGGCCATGATGTTACCCGTTCAAATTTCCATCTACTTGTATCAGTGAATACTGATTTGGGTAGGTCAGGACTTGTCGAACCTTAATGGTTTTTCTAATTTGTCGTCGCTCAATTGTTTCGGTTGACTGTTAAATATCTCCACAAGTCCATCCATATTACTTCAAAGTAACTCTAGTTAAAGTTTTCAGATTTGGATCGTACGATTTTACTTAAATTATTGTATTAATTACGTTATAGCTTAACTGTGTATTATTTAGCGATTCATAAAATAAAAGAGATTTATACTAGATTAAGAGAAGAGATAGCGTATTTCGTAGTCTGTTAAGATTTTAGGAACAGTTGAATCAGATCCCGACGACTCTTGTGTGTAAATTAGTTGTACAGGTCTATTAACGGCTCTTTAATAGCTCTTAGCCATTTAAAGACCTGTATCACTCCAGAATTCTACAAGACTTCCTGGGCTCCATTAAAAGCTGAAGTTCATTTTTGATGTGCCCGTATTTTTCCAAAGACTCAGTATTTGCTTGCTTATCTCTGTCTATCGTAATCGTCGAAAGGACCATCTCTTTCAGGATAATCATAAAGCTGTGCTCCTTTTTGAAGTCGCCGTTAAAACAAGTTCGCATATTGGCGCGTGATATCGTCAAAAAGATCATGGTGACCGTCGGTGCGTCGTATCTCGGAGTTTTACTGGAGCACCTCACCCTACTGCTCACGCGGGGCTTCCAAGTTCACGTGTTGGTCGCCACGATACACTCAGTTCTCGACGCGTTGAAAGCAGACTTCAAGCCAGGCGACATTGACGATTACCTGCCGTACATTCTGGATGTATGCTGCAACGACTTGTTCGGTGCCCTCTCAGAAGAGAAGGAAGTGGACAAACTGCACCAGAAGACGCCAGAAGCGAAACCGAGCAAGAAGAGTCTCGTGACCCTGACGATCGTGTCTCAGAACATCACGGAGAAGTGTCTGATAAACCTCCTGCTGCCGTTCAAGGAGGTATTGCGGAAGCACCACTCGAAGAAGATAGTGATGAAGGTGCAAGAGGCACTGATGCACATATCGAGCGGCCTGGTGACCAACAGTTTCGTGGACTACGAATCTCTTTTCATATTCCTCCACGGGATTGCATCCGAGAGCATACCGGAGTTCGTACTGGGCGCAACGAAGAGGGAGATATCCGACAGTCAGAGGGAGAGGATGCTTCGCGCGAAGCCGGACTGCTTCATAATACCGGCCGCGCCGAAACGCAACAAAGAATCTCAGGCGAGACTGGTCAAAAACTCGAGCAAAACCAACGCGCACGCTCTAGTCGAGTTCAGTCTGAATATACTGTACGTGATGCTCAAACGGGAGAGGGTTCCGAGGGTCGAGTGTCGGGCCTTCGTTGACCCCCTCATACCATTGTTAGTGGACTCCCTGAGGAGCGACAACGTGAAGGTGACTACGGTCGCCTTGAAGTGCGTATCGACGCTCTGGACGATAAGAGTGAGCACGCCCACCCTAGAGGAGATGGTGCAGGACATCGTGAAGACCATATTCTCCATACTCCACAAATACGCGACCGCGGAAATCAGCAAACAGAACGACAACTACCAATTGGTTCGGACTGCTTTCAAGGTGAGCGAAAGCCTTTGTGACGTAAGACGTCTATAATTTATTTTGTATTTGATTTCTCCTTTCAGCGAATATAGTTTTAATTGCTTTGTAAATTCTCCTTAAAACTTAAGCATTATAATGGTAGCTTTTATGATGGTAAATGATTCATGAGAAAATTTTCACTTTTAAAAATGTACTGTTATATAAATAAATGAGACTGGCATATCATCTTGCACATATTTTTATATCAGTAATGACATTGTTACCGTCATTACAGCTTCGTTTCGTTTTCGTTTCTTACTAAAAATTTCATATAAAAAATCTAGTCAAATTAGATAAACTAAAACAAAGTTGCTATACATATCGAACGTTGGAAATGAAAAAAATATAATTATTACGAAAGACTAGATATCGACAGTTCCGTACTAACGAAGAAGGAAATAGACAAATGAATAGAGGTATAAGATTTGCTCGCAATGTGTTAAAAAGTACATTTTTATTTACAGTAACAAAACGACTTCAAATATAATTATTTTCAAACATTTCTATTTGATTTTAATAAGATCCCTGATGATCTAATCTGTATCGATCCAAGATCTAATACCAATTAAATTGATATGGGACCTCATAGAACATAAACCGAAGCCAATTCAAAAATAATTTTAAATATCGGAGTGCAGAGGTAACAAACGTAAAAAAATGCTAAGAGGACCATCTTTTCTTAAGTCGATTAAGTACTTTATGAACGCGCGTGAGAAGTTATACTTCTTAGGCATCATTAAAAATAGTTTTTTATTAAAATATATTTGTTAATTGCATGCAAATAGTTAATTACAATAAAATAATAAAAAGCCTGGAAAAGGATAACGGGCAACTTCAAAGGTGTGACTTTCGTGTTACAGTGATGCGCGCGCATCTTGAAATTTCACTCTCATAATTCTTGTCAAAACGCGCCTGAAGCAGTATAACTTCAAGAATAAACGCTGAAAAATCGACCAGTGGAAATTTCGAGCCCAAATCGATTTCAGGCAGTGACTGTGTTGATACGCAACGTTAAGTACTACACGCTGGAAGCAGAGCAGTTGAAGGCGTTGCTGCTTTACGCAGAGGAGGACTGCCACAGCGCCGAGAGGCAGGCCAACTCCTTCGCCCTGCTGAAGGCCATCCTGGAGGGGAGGCTCGTGTCGCCCGAACTCCACGAGGTCATGCAGAAGGTGTCCACCATCTGCGTGCTCAGCGAGTCGGCGAGATCGAGGTGGGTGGAAGGTGAAAACCGGCCAAATGCGAGTCGGGCTCGCGCACGAAGGGTTCCGTGCCATTGTCTATGAAAACGGCGAAAAAATCATGTCTGCTGTGTGGGAGCCCTAGTTAAATATGTTTTATTCTGTTTTTTTTAGTATTTGTCGTTATAGCGGCAACAGAAATACATCATCTGCGAAAGTTTCAATTGTGACTTAACTGTGGTAGGGCCACGCAAAAGTGTTCGCTGTTGCACAAATATGCAGGTACGTCCGCGTAAGTACCACGACCTAATAGAAGGTCGTGAAGTGGAAGTAGGTAATCCATTAGCGTTTCTTCTGGTGAATGAGGTGGCCGGAGCCCAATTTTTAAAAGGTTGTCAACGCATCTGCAACCCACGGGAGTAGCTGCAGACGTCCATGGGCGGCGGTATTCACATAACATCACATTTTTCACATAAACAAAAACAAATATTTCAGCCTGTCTTAGTCCACTGCTGTACACAGGCCTCAGGCTGTCACGAAGCACGATCCTCGATTTATACAATCTACATCTTATTTTTTTTTTTGTGGAAGGCGTTGGGTAGTAAGTCTACTGCGAACTGAGACGTCTATATTCCCTTCGAAACCATTGTCCCCTTGCTCTTGGATAACATTAACCCGTGTTGTAAGGACTTTTCACACACATTGGTTTGCGGGTATTTTGGAGATATAAAACGAAGCTGCCACTCGTCCAGGGACGAGGCGCGCGCGCTGTTCGTCAGCTACCTGACCCACTACACGCCCGGCAAGCGCATGGAGAGGTACATACAGTTCTTCGTGGCCCAACTCAACTACGAGCTGCAGCACGGCAGGGAGTCCTCGCTCAGGTTCCTCGGGATGATCATCAACAAGATGGCTGTGGTGAGGGACTTATTCGTCTTTTACCCGACTGCGCCAGAAGGGGGTTAAGTTTTTCGATAGTATGTATGTATGTATAATTTGGCACGCTTGCAGCCCGAACGGCTTGATGGATTTTAAGCTTGAGAGGTGTCGTTAGATTCGTATTCACTGTGAAAGTCGCACTGGGTATATCGAAATAATTGCCAAATTACACAGAAACGCAGTCGGGTTTTTTAGTTTTTTCTTTAATTATATGTACTTGTTAATATTTCCATATTTTTACTGTGGTCGCGTGGTGGACTATGCCCTAATAGCCTCTGTGCAGAGGAGGCCTTTGCAAAAAAGGTCCTAATACAAAGGGTGTTAGGGTAAAAAGTTGAGACATGGATAGGCTTGTCAAATGAAATTAGTTGGATTTTTAATTCCGACCTTTCGGAGCGTTCACGATCACGGGACAGACAGACGCGTGAAAATAGAAATTAAAACGCGATAAAATCCGTAACCGATGGGGAAGAAAGGTTCCCGAGTGGCGGCCTCGTACTGGCCATCGCATTGTAGGACGACCCCGCACTAGATGGATTGAGGATCTATGCAAGTGTGTGGGAATTCGATGGATGCCGGCGGCTCAGGATCGTACTTCGTGGCAGTCTGGGGGGGCGGCCTATATTGCCCTACCGCAGGGGCGTTGAACTTTCAACGCAACAGCGCTTTCATACCCCCTCCGTGGTAGCGTTGAACGTTTAACGCAACCCTGACGGGAGTCGCATTGGGAGTCGCACTTAAAAAGAAACTCCCTGATGGTGCCTCCGTGTCGGTCCAGAGCCAGCTGTCGAAGCACGCCGAGTACATGTTCCTGGCCCTCGGTGCCTGCATGGTCTCCGATGTAGCTCCTGCCTGCCGCGCCTCCGCAGCCGCCTGCATCGAAGACCTGATCAAGAGGCTACCGTCGAGCGACACCGCCAAGCTCTTCGACCTGGTCGTCTCCTTCTTCAAGGACAACCAGGTGAGCGCTCCGCCTCGTAAGGTGTGATTTTTTATGGAGGGTGGTTTTATAGACTACGCACATAATAACAGAGCATGTGCAGAATTTGATTTTAAATCTGAATCTGTAATGTACTTGTGATCTCATTTTTTTTTTTAAAAAATATTATTTTTGTAGACAGCCAGTGGACAGCCAATCGTCGAGGTGGTAGTTATGGTATTTGGCAGTTTGTCACGTCGTGGTGAAACTCAGCAGCAGTAATTACGAACAACTTGTCGTAGCGTTGTTATAGATGCGATAAAAAATGCAAAGAGATTGAAAACATCCATCCGCAAGGCCAATGGGTCGAGAGGATTGAAAACGACCTGGTACTCTTCTTCAAGGACATCCAGGTGAGCGTCACCCCGTGAAGTGTGAAGATTCGACCACATCTCGAAGCGTACAGTATCTGTAGTAGGGCTACGCACGTATGGGCAGGTCCGTCCGCGTAAATACCACGACCTCACGGTAGGCGTGAAGTGGCAGTGTCGTACTTCTGCGTTTCTTCGCAACCCCACGGGTGTTGCAAAAGTAAATGGGCGGCGGTTATCACTCGGACATCGGATCTCGCCTGCCACCTCTTCACATAAAAAACAAAACTTATATTTTACGTAACAATTTTTAAATCCATCACAACAGCCGGTGCACTTCGAGCTGGGCGCGCAGCTGGCGATTAGATTCGTCAACGTCGAGCTGGAGAAGTTCTCCGGCCGCCTCTCGGCGATCCTCCCCCTGGTGTGTGGGAAGATGCTGCTGCTGAGCAACGAGCCGGGCGCGGGCAGGTTCGTCAAGGCCGCCCTGGACCACGCCCCGGACGAGGACGGCCAGAGGGAGAGGGACCACGCGCTCATACAGATGCTGAGCCTGGTCGACGGGATCGCGGTCCATTGCGCGTCGACCATCAACATCCCGAAGCACTCGGCCGACTACGACGAGCTGGGCCAGCTGTGTAAAGCGCTGCTCGCGTACCCCCACGCGTGGGTGCGGCTGCGCGCGGCCGCGGTGCTGGGCCGCCTCGTCGCCGCGGCGCGGCCCGAGGAGTTGGCCGCGCCGGCGCGGGGAGGCAAGGCCGGAAGGGGCTTCGTGTACAGCGACAGCGAGCAGTTCCTCAAGAGCCTGGTGCTGGACCTCTGCGCGCAGTACACGCCGAGCGTCGGCAAGGAGATGGCTGACGTTGTGAGTGAATATAAAGAACACGTGAACGATTCCCTCTCTTTCCCACCACAATCCGAATCCCTTTTGGTCTCGCTCGCACTCTATCATGGCGTGAAGCCGTGCGACCACAATTTAAAAAAAAAAAAAAGACCACAATTCGATCTGAGAGAATTCGATGTCTGCACTTGAGGATACAAGCGCGGACCTTGACTCGTTCCCAATTATGCCTCGCAGGTGACCGACGTGCTGTTCTCGATTATGAAGCTGGTGCGGCCGATGGCGTCGTTCTGCGGCGGAGAAGGTGGCTCCGGGCTGGACCTGCGCTGGATCCTGGCCAAGCTGCGAAGAGCCGTGGCGGTGGAGGTGGCCAGGGCGCCCAAGTCCACGAACATCGTCAGTGGGACTCCCTCGACCTATTTCATTCCCAACTGTGGTGGCCACGCAACAGTTTTGCCAGAATGGGCAGGTCCTTTCGGGGAAGTATTGATAGATAGAAGGCGTGAAGTGGAAGATGTTGTCCTTCTGCATTTCTCCGCAACCCAACGGGTGTGGCAAATGTAAATTTGCGGTTATCACTTAACGTCAGGTGAACCGCCAGCTCACTTGCCACTTTCTCACATATTTTTTTATATGTAGACTTGACGATTAGGACTTGATAATGTTCTTAATTGTTCGTAGCTTATGATGTTAAACATCTATAGCCGCACGTAAAACCGATTTCTGGCGTGGCGACGCGTCGCAACGCTATATGATGGTATATATATGTACAGTATATATGCAGTAAAGTGTACGATTAATTACTCAAATTTAAATTAATTGTTAATAATTATTTATTAATTATTAATAAATTAAATTAACTTTAATTAATTGTGTGTACTATTACCGAAGTCACTGATTAAACGAATTAAGTAGTCACCATTTGAAATAAATTCGTAAATTTTTGTATTTAATGAAAATAAACGTTTATTCAATAAATAGTCATCGTTATCTGGAAAAAAAATTGTAATATTTTATAAATGAAACTAATTTTACGGATTTATCGCGTTTTTAATTTTAATTCCCGACGTTTCGAACCCTTTACAGCGTTCATGGTCACGGGAGTTTAGTCTGTCCGGTTCCGGCGTGACGGCTCTTTTTTTTTTTTTTTATACTAATTTTTGTTACTCGCTGCTGGGCACGTCCTTAACAGTGTTTTGTTGTTGTCACTGTGTGTTGTTATGTTCATTGCATAATTTAGCCATATAGTATACTTGAGGAAATATGACGATTAGCTTAAAATTATATAGAATGTTTTCTTTGTACAGAAACCCACTTTGATATTTTAGATCACTACCATTATCAAATAGTCGGTTCAACGTTCGATTTACAAATAGATTTGATTACTGGATAGATGGACACGGAGCCAATGTCGAATAACAATCGCGCACGGAGCGCTGAAACCGTCTCCGTCGCTCATCGCGCCGTCTCCTTCCCGCAGAGGTCGGCGGTGTTCACTGTTTTATTGAGTCCATGATCAGATGTTGAAACTAAACGAATTCGAATTGCAGATTCGAATCTCGCACTAATGATTTCCTTTTAATCCGATAAGTTCTTGCTTCACATTTGCGTAAGCCAATAGGCGACAAGCTCACCACAACAAGATGTCATGTTAAAAATTACATCAGCTCAGTGTTCAGCGCTTGCCATATTTCGATCGCACTCAGAGATTTCAATTACAGGTTAACTGGCATTCAACTCCTTCCCGCAGAGGTCGGCGGTGTTCACGATGTGGCTGCACCTGGTGGGCTGGCTGGCGCCCGAGGAGGTGGCCAGTCTGGCGGCGCTGCTGGTGCGGCCCGTCGTGCGCGAGCTGTCCGCCGGGGGAGGGGGAGGGGGAGGCGGAGGGGGAGGCGGAGGGGGCGTCGCCAGGCAGCTCGCCTCGCGCCTGGCCAAGAAGCTGCGCAGGAGGCTGGGCGATTTGGAGTACGCGCGCCTGGCCGCGGAGGCGCAGGTCGCCCTCGACGTGCGCAGGGCCCACAGGAAGAAGGTGACTACGTTGCGGCGGGCGGGGGCGGGCGGGGGTAGGGGGGGGGGGGGGGGGGAGGTGCTTGGTGAATACAGATTGGGAATTGATCGATTGAGTGTAGTGTACTGGGTACTTGAAGCGCAGCGAGGGTGGGCGCTTAGGGAATACATATTCCCCAGCTGTACCAAACCACACCACAGAAGTTGTTGGCAGCATTTCAATCATCAAATATTTAAAAAAAAAATTTTGTGAAAAGAGACCGGTCCTTTCCCCAAAAGAAGTTCGATCCTCAGTTTATCTCTTCTTGTCTTATTTTCTTATTCAACAAGCACAATGAAAAGAGTATGACCAACTCTGTCTACCACCACTAGAAATAATTTGATGGACTTGAACAAACCGGCTCTTACTTATTTCTACTAACAATTGTCTTGTTACAGATAATCCTACAAGAAAAAGTGCACAATCCGGAGAAGGCTGCCAAGAGGAAACTTCAGCTCAGGGAGAAGAAGAAGCAAGCGAAGAAGATGAAACTGGAGACGATGCACGGGAAAAGGCCGCGCGCCAAAAAGAGGAAGGCAGAAGACATGGATATAGAGGGGAAGATTCTGCAAGACTGGGACGATTAGATATTTCCATCTTTAACTCAGATTAAAGAGGAATCAAAGAAGTGAAGATAGACTTGTTTTTATAGTTAACGTGTAAATATAGTGTAAGATCAGTGCGCATTATGTTATGTTTTCAATTTATCAAACAGAATAAATCTACTTTAATATTTAGTACCGTTGTTATTGTACGGAATGTTCCGTTTTCTATTCGACTGGACATTTCCGGATAAAAGGAAAATTGGGGAAAAATTGCTCTTTTCAACTTGCTTCTTGATAGATAGTAGTAGTTAAATTTTAAACCGGCTTTTTCTCCTTCCGTACATGGAGTACAAATTTCAATGAAACCTGTTTCTATTATATCTTGAAATATGTTTTTATCAATAGTGGTATAAACAAATATATTAATTTGTTACAAGATTATCAAGAGGACCCTTGAACGGAAATCTTCCATTCCTGATATAAGGGAGCCATCTCAATTCGAATAGCAATCGTATAGTGAGGGTTGAATTCGGTTTTGTTTTTGTTAATAAAAAAAAACATTTCTATTACAATACTATATAAAATTGAAAAGTGTTGCCTCTTCCTGTACCCGTTGCGTTGTCAGGTTTTTTTTTAATTTTCCTTTTGATTAATAATTTAGTCAATGACACTGTTAATTAATTGTGGGTTTAAAGGTTAAGGGTACTCAAATGATGTTATCATTACATGGACATAGATATTACATTTTTTTTTATTTACAATAGTGAATTTAACTAAACTATAATTTATTACTAATTGGACCCAGTGTAACTATTACTACATTTTTTCCTATACCTATGACATTTATAGATTAATACTTGTAACGCGCCTCGTGCTGTAAAGTATGAGCACTAGAGGTCGCCAATCAATGGCATTAAAGATAGTGTATACATGTTCGGAATTTGTGCTAGTTATGAGTTCATCAATTGGTCGCTTAGCTCAGCTGGTGAATCGTCCAGTTACCCGAGCGGAGCAGGTTGGAATCCCAGAGCGCCGAAAGTTTTTCTCTGTTTATTACAAAAAATTACAATCACCATCATTTCAGCCTGTTTGAGTCCACTGCTGAACACAGGCCTCCCGCAGACTGCCACGAAGCACGATATTCCATCTAGTGGGGGGTCCCACACTGCCAAATTAGTGTCCCTGTTTTATTGAGTCCATGATCAGATGTTGAAACTAAACGAATTCGAATTGCAGATTCGAATCTCGCACTAATGATTTCCTTTTAATCCGATAAGTTCTTGCTTCACATTTGCGTAAGCCAATAGGCGACAAGCTCACCACAACAAGATGTCATGTTAAAAATGACATCAGCTCAGTGTTCAGCGCTTGCCATATTTCGATCGCACTCAGAGATTTCAATTACAGGTTAACTAGCATTCAACTCGTTTGAGCCAAATGGAGTCTTACTATTTCGTAAATCACCCTAATAAAATAATACAATGGTAGCTAGATATTAATTGAAACTTCTGAGTGGGTTATCTAGATAAGCGCAGTGAGGTGTACCTTTTATAAGGCAGGGATAAATAAAACAACTGCGTCCATAGTACTCTCAAAGAGTTTAATTACTTTGTTCTTGGAACTTCGGAAATAGTTCGTCATTTACATTGGCACCCTAAGTCTTGTAATTATTATTAAATGTATATTAAATTATAGTTTTAAGCAACCTCTCTCTAAAATATATATTCTTTTCATTTCTCATTAAACATTAAACATATGTGGTAGGTACTGTAGTTTGTGAATCACAAAGTAATTTATCGATAGAGGAATCTAGAAGGGGCCGGGGCCTCTCGCACACAATCACACAATATCACGCAAACGCACACAGGGCCCGTTGCAATTTTAAATCTTAGACGCGCATAACCTAAGTTGTACTTTAGTTATCTAAAAATAAATAAACCTCACTTATAAAGTCTACAGCTATCACGACCGGTTGCTTCACGGTAAGTCACAACATCCACTTGCGATCGAAACGAACGAGCGAATAGAAACGGATCAATTCATAGACACAATATAAATATAGTTAACATCTAAAATCACAACAGCGCGGGGGACGGCGCGTCCGCCCGTTAAAATCAATACTACAATAATAAGTTCACATCTCTCCGTTAGAAAAATAAACGCGCCGCGCGCTAAGTACGTGGCCGGCGCTGCATGCATTTCATGCACGAGCGCGGAGCATACCGGCAATGAGCGCATTCTGTCAAGTAGCACACACCTGCCGCGTGTGCACAGAAGATGTATGCTCGCGAGAGAGCGCCGCCCGAACGAAACTATTTGCCCGTGCAACAAATAGCGCTTGTGAAAACTCAATGAAGCGAGCGCACTACGAGGTGGGACGTTTGCCGCGCAGCGCGCTCGGCTAGGGCAGCGGCGGCGGCTTGGCGGCGGGCGCGCGCCCGTCGGCGGCCAGCAGCCGCTCCAGCTCCTCGTCCTCGTAGAAGACGACGAAGTGCTCCGGCTTGGCCACCGCCTCGAAGATGGAGCACACGGAGGGCTTCACGTTGTAGAAGTAGAGCGGCTGGCCGCGCGCGCGGAAGTCGGCCGTGAGCTGCTCGATGCTCTTGGCGGCCGTGTAGTCGGCGCTGTAGATGTGCGTGCACTCCAGCACCACGGCCACCGCGCCGCCCGCCGCCGTCTTGTTCACCAGCCGCCGCACGTACTCCACCGACGGGAACATCAGGCAGCGGTCGGGCGTGATCATCAGGTACTCCACGCCGCCCTCCGTCTGAGTTACAGTGGGACAAACGTTACAACGCGACTTTAATACATAAATCAGTGCGCAGGCCGGCACCAAAAATAAACGGGCACCACGGGTACGGGTTAAGTGACTCTCACTACCATCTACGAGTTGGGCCAAGGTTTCGCTGTTGCACGATTGGACAGGTCCGTCCGGGTAAGTACCACAACCTAACAAGAGACCGCCGTGAAGTAGAGGTTTATACTTTTGCGTTGTTGGTAAGTGAGGTAGCCGGGGCCCACTTTGTTAAACGATGGCAACGCATCTGCAACCCTACGGGTGCTACAAATATCAATGGGCGACGGTTATCGGTTACCAGAAAAGATAGAGCACCAAAAAGAGTACAAATATCAAAAGTGAGGTCACCTTCAGCAATTCCATGGAGAGCTTGGGCCTCGCGGCGTGGTAGAGTATGAAGATGATGTTGACCACGACACCGGTGAGGATGCCCAGCTCGATGGGCAGCGTGAGGCAGAGCACGAAAGTGCCCACGCCTGGCACCAGGTCCAGTTCTGGGAGCAGGGGAGGAAAGCTATGTATTAGAACAATGGCGAACATGATAACTTTAATGTATTTCTTATACACAAATCCCGATCTACTTAATTTTTTTAGGAATATAATAACTAAAACATTTGCGTACGTTCGTTTGGCTCCAAAATGGATATTTAGTAGGACATAATTAAAACTAACGGATTCGTAAGTTTCGATTTGCTATCTTTTATTATAATATTATAATTTATTATTACTTAAAAACGAAATTTACAAAACAAGATACGTATGTTTATGCATCTAGATTATATATATATATTGTTTAGTATACCTAAGATATTTCTTATGAGGTCATCGACAGCATCCTTTATGTATACAGGGAGATTTTTTGATAAGTACCCATATTTACACAGGAGGTTCAGACTCGGTAGTATAATCTATTGCATTCTATGCCATTCTATTCCCTAAAAACAGAACGTGTTGACAATGCGGTAGTCATTCATAAATACCTAAATTTTAATGTGCACGAACTTGTGTGCGTGTTAGTTATGAATGATGGCGCGTAAAATAAATGAGTTGAGTATAAATAACGATAAGTTCAAATGAATGTAATCAATTACTTACGAGTGATTTTAAATATTTATCATTTTTATACAACATTATTTATGTCTAGAATTTAATAAAAATGGATACACTTAGAAAAGCTACCCTGTATAGATTATACTTTTTATACCGAAGAATATAAAAACCTTTCATTGGTCGAACCATAGACTGATTAGTGTTAGAAAAATCGGAAAATTTAAAAACGATAAATCCCTATGTATTTATATTTCATTGCTCAGCTCTTTTGTTTTACAAATTATCTATGAGTATATTCACACTTGGGTTATTGGATTGGATTCTTCCTTGGTTTTTATTTTCGAAATAATACTGTAAAGTCCGAATCTATGTGGTAATAATAATAGTAGCTGCGTAGGAAGATGTGAAGTGCACAATAACTTTTAGACACTGTATGGTGACCCTAATGGCGAATTGGGTAGTGTACCTGCCTCCTGTGCCAGAGGGTGTGGGTTCGATCCCCACTACTGGAAGAATATTTGTATGATGAGCATAGTATTTTTCTATTAACTTAGTGTTTATATATTTATTATATGTATATATTTATAAAATAAAAGGACGTTTAAGTACGTTTATTAGTAACCTCGTGGCCATAGTACAAGCTTTGCTTTGTTTGGGACTTGATAACGTTACGTAAAAATATGTTTTTGAAATATTTTTCTTTTAAATGAAAAACGTGTTTTAATAATATGAAAACATTTGTAAAATAATCACAGTTCACAATCGCAATGTTGTACACGATTGCAACACACGCAACCAATCTATCTGAGTGCGTTTCTCTCCGTTTTTTATAACTCGGCGATAAGTCCAAACAATCAAGCGAACAACGCATTTCCCACAGACTGCTGAAAGTAATTCTCACCGCGAATAATAATAATTCAAGTATAAGTAATAATTCACATATAGGATACTGCAATTATGAATAATTATGAAAATACTATCTTATATTTCCATCGTACACACAAATTACGTACGTTTTCGTGTATTTAACTGGTTTCCTCACATTTTAATATTTCTTCAGTATAAAATTGAGGAAACCGCTCGGAATGAGTGGCGTGTGCTGTTATTAATAAATTCCGATACGAGAATGAAACGACGCGGGCACTCTTATCTATATATTAATACTATACAGGCAAAATTCATTTGAAACGAGTAATTATAAAAAAAATAATTAAAAAAAAATTATAAGTATAATAATTTTCTATTACAATTAAGGATAGAACAGTCTAGGTACAGGAACGTCTACCATCTATGGCGAAACAAAGCTAAATTTCCACATCCATACAGATAAATAAAGTTGGTGTTGTACTGTTTGTAATATTAATATAAAACCGTTTAAAAACTTTTAAGTTAAACGGTTTTATTTTATGTTTTTTTTTTTTGTTAATATTTTATTTCCGTCAATTTCAGATCAATCTGACAACGGCAAGGTGCTTAAATTTCAATTTCTAATTTTGACTCAAACAAACAAATTCCGTACGGGTCGAGCTAAATAAAACCGTTTAATAACCGCTTTTTACTAAATGCATGTGGACGTATACACGGTAAATATAGCAAAATAACATTTGTTATAAGATTTTTCTGTCTACCTGTCTTTTTGTTCCGGCTAATCTCTGAAACGGCTGAAACGATTTTGATGGGCCTTTCATTGGCAGATAGCTGATGTAATAAGTAACTTGGCTATTTTTATTTTGGAAATTTTATTTATTTCAAATTCCACGCGGGCGAAGTCGCGGGCACAGCTAGTTTGTATAACTCTAATTACAAGTGAAACTTTGCGCGCTTTGTTCGTAGCGATTGGTTGTAATTCTCCTACAAGTCATTTCTCTGTAAACCTCCCATTAGAAGAGTCGAAGTCCTTCTCCTGCAAGGCGTGTCTCTGTAAATCTCCCGGAAGAGTGTAAGGCCAGGAAGGGGGCTGGACTCACTTTTGGCGCGCCACATCGGCTTGACCACGTCGTACTCGACCATGAAGAGGATGGCGGAGATGATGACCGCCGCCAGAGCGGCCTTCGGGATGAACTCGAAGTACTGCGTGAAGAACTGCAGCGCCAGGATCACCATCGCGCCTGCGGCGAGTGGCCTCGCTCAGGTGGGATTGAGGTGATCACACCGCTCGTGGGCGTTTTTTATGTGGGAAGGTGGCGAAAGAGGTGGCGGTTCAACTAATGGTAAACGATTACCGCCAACCATTGATATTTGACGGGCGGCATTTATCACTTAACATCAGGTGAACCTTTACGTTTATCATTTACTTAGTATCCATAGTACATACAAGCTTCGTTTAAAAAAATACGTCAACGACACCCATCGAGACCCGTGATAGCTCAGTGTCCGTGCGCTCGCCTTTAATTTAATATACTCGAGCGACCTGAGTTCGATCCCCGGTGCCGACACCAATGAAATTGTTAATTTTAAGTGTCGAATTATCACGTTCTCAGCAGTGAAGGAAAACAGCATGGGGAAACCTGCATATTTTCGAAGTAATGACAAAAAAAAATTTCGAAGATATGTGAAGTCCGCCAATACGCAGAGGGGCCGCGTGGTGGACTATGCCCTGATACCGTCTGTACAGAGTAGGCCTTTGCCCAGCAGTGGGACATCACCCGTCGGTACCCACCGGTGTATATCCCGTTGAAGGTGGTCTTGACGCCGGAGCCGTTCGAGACGACGGAGCGCGCCAGCGAGCCGCCGCCCGGGTACGCCTGCATGAAGGAGTTGCCCACGTTGCACACGCCCAGCGCGATCATCTCCTGCGTGGCGTCGATGGTGCGCCCGTCGGAGAACGCCTTGCAGATGGCGATGTCCTCGAGCAGCACGATCAGCGGGATGACCAGCACGCCCGAGCCCAGCTCGGAGACCATCTCGAGGAAGTCGGCCGTGCTGTTGTCCGGCCGCACGTAGCTGAACGGCGGCAGCTGCGGCATCGGCACGCCCGACGGGATCGCGCCTGCGACCACACGGTGTGACGTAATAACTTGCGACCGTGGCCGGACGGCTCGTGTGGTGGCACGGTATGACGTCATGCCTTGCGATGCCACGGTGCGCGTAATGGCTCGCGATCGTGGCCGAATGGCTCGCGACGATAGTGACGTGACTAAGTTACCATGTCACAGGTAAAGCTAATAGTATGCATTTGATAAACTGTAAATTAATATATGGTCAGATTGTGAGCGAATGGCTCGTGGAGATAGTGTCGCGTGATGGCACGGTATGACGTAATGGCACGGTATGACGTAATGCCTCGCGATTGTGACCTAATGGCTTGTGAAGATAGTGACGAGACTAAGCGACCATGTTACACACAGGTGAAGCTAGCATTATGCATTTCATAACTGTAAATGAATATATGTTCAAATTGTGACCGAATTGCTTGTTAATCTTAGGTTGTAGAATCTTTAACTCAAAATAAAAGATGTACCTAGTAGACTGTATAATATGTATATAATTATATATAATTACGACCTTTTAATGTAATAATTAGACCTACTTGAAATGACCGTGTTACTCACAAGTGAAACACACATTATGACCACTTGATAATTGTAAATTAATAAATCATAAATGTTCAATTAATACTTCTTTATTTATCGAAATCTAGAATGAGAACGTGAAAAGGAAGCTGTGACGTAACACCTATGTTAATGGTGACGTCCTTTAAAACGCTCTTGTATAGTTATTATAAATATGTGAAGCTAATATTATGAAGGGAAGGTATTCATAAAATATAGAAATATATGTATACATTTTTTCATTAATTTATGAATTTCCAGCCTAAACAAAAATATAGATGTTATAAAGGTCTTCTGTAACGTGCATTTTAGATTCATCTGTATGTAACTGAATATTATGGTGTTCTGGCAAAGATATATAGATGTACTAGATTGATGACAAATAATTTTCGTCATGAATAAATATAGACTAATAGGTGGGCGTGCTTTCAAATGATTTTAAAAAATACTCAAATGATTTAATAAACAGTGATGGTCCGTGGTTGCATAATGTCGGAATAGAAACTTTAGTGTATATATAGCTGTTGATATTTAGGTAGTGGTAGAAATTCGTCCAAACATTAAAGACATCTTCTTTAATGTTTGGACGAATTTCTAGCGAAATTAAATTACGAGTAAGATTGCGGATACTATTCGAAATGAATGTGAATCAAACGATCTACTCCTAAGCTACGCTATCTCTACTCTGGGATCGGGAGCACAGTACTAACCGCCTCGCACGTTATCGGCTTTGGTGTGCGCAAAAAGAAAAATCGTTCACACGTTAAACATCTCGAATAGCGGTACAATGCAACGGCGGCCAAAAGCCTTGGCGCTTACCCATGAGCCGGACGGGGGAAGCCCCGTGCTGGGCCACGAACCAGAAGCCCAGGGTGCCGGAGGCCACGACGACGATGGCGTTGCGGCAGGTGCCGAGCATCCACATGCACTTGGTGATCACCTTCTGCTGCGTGGTAGGCGTTCCGTCACCACTAGTCCCCAATTTGATCATGCCGATTTTCTAGAACATACCATAGTTGCAATCACTTATAGAATTTTAAGGAGTTCCACGGCCTTACAAATCGCAGTGTGGGCGGTAATCCGGTCCCGTTGTTTTTATATGTTCGCAATGCACTTACAGCTATTTTCACGGGGGCGTAGTAATCATTTGAGCAGTTTGCTTACAAACTTTTCACATAAAAAACCAAAGCGGTTCGTATCTTGATCGATTAAACGTTCGTCGTTCAGCTTTAGGTGCCAAAATACCGTGAAAGTCGAATTACGGTTGTGAAGCGTGAACTTTAATCGAATACCTAATCATCTGCGAGGGCCAAGCTTTAATATACTCGGTAGGACTGATAACCATCCGGTAAAGAAAAGCAATTGTATTGAAACGCAACCCACCCTCATGAGCAATAGCAGCGCGATGCAGGAGAATCCGAGCACTGGGTCCCAGAGCGAGGCGTTGTGCAGGTTGCGGAAGATCGAGATCCACTGCTGCAGGAACGTGCTGCCGGTGACCGTTATCGCGAACAGGTCCTTGACCTGCGACGTGGCGATCATCAAAGCCACCGCCGACGTGAAGCCCGACGAGACCGGCCCGGAGACGAAGTTGATGAGGAAGCCGAGCCCGAGCACGCCCATCAGGAGCTCCACGAGCCCCGTGAGGAAGTTGAGCAGGATCGCCTTCTCCACCACGCCGCCGGCGACCTGCCACGTGAGCAGCGACGCGATGGCCGTCGGCCCCGCCGGCACGGCGCGGCAGCCGCCCAGCACGATGTAGATGAAGCAGCCGAGGAACGAGCCGTACAACCCGTGCTGCGGCGGCAGCCCCGCTATGTTGGAGTACGCGAGCGATTGCGGGATCACGGTCAGCCCGACGGTGATGCCGGCGATCAGATCGCCGAGGGCCTTCTCCACGTTGTACCTGCGGACGAGGCGAGGGGTGAAGCTGAGCAAAGTTCGCTTAGCGCCCGCTTGCGGTGCTCCGAGCGAACGGCCCTGGGTAGGCACCTGCGTCAAACAAGGCAGGGGGCGCGATGAAGATAAGCGAATTTCACTTAGCGAGACTCTTACGCCCGGTTCCTGAAACACCGATCAACGGAGAAGTTAACTAATCAGATGGTTAAAAGGATATGTTTAAATCCTAATAACTTCTAACGTGTTGGTTCCGTCCACGGAGGGTTAAGGTCATTTTAAAATTAAATCGCGCGACTATCGTTACATTTGTCGGCCGCAGCAAAGCTAGCGGCTCGACGCGTTATAAGGGCCTAAGTCATCACCCCTTTTCTAGGCAATGCCCAATTTAATAGTTAAAGACCTAAGCTTTAATTGAGTGACCCATTTTATATTTTGTCCTTATGGTATTAATGTTATTTAGTACATAATGGGACTACGAATTTTGCCCTTAGAAGTAATTAAGTAAGATTTTAGTATATTTTTCGTTTATAAGCTTCCTCGTCTAGGAACTGTATTTATATTGAACAATCATTTATTTAATTATTGATTTATTATTAATATTTGACCAATTAACAGATTCTACCACTGTAGAACTTTTTATTTATCGGGTAACAGACGGTGAAATTTCAACTACATGAAAAAGTTTTGCTTCCACTACTTTTTTGTACTGTTGTGGCAGACAAACCTTTATTTCTTATCTAGATGTCTAAGTTGGACTTATAGAGACTTTCTTAGAAGGAGCATGCGTAGACTTATGTGAAATAGTTTAGTTTCGCGTAATGACATCATTATAGTTGTGCAAAAGAGATTATTACTCATTCGCGTTATCATTCAGCAATCTAAAAGCATTTTTGAACAACTAATAAATATTGCATACTTATCATAACACCCGTACCGTATGGTATAAATTGTCATAGCCAATTTAATTATGTTTACTACTTTAAAATGTTATCATAAAAATGCTAATTATAACCTAAATACTAACGGGTGAATTCACAGAGTAAGCGAATAAGTACATGTGTCTTCTGGCACTAGATGATGAGAATTGTTAAGGATGCAAATGTTGAAATCGTTACCTGTATTTAGAACACCAAAACAAGTTTAAGAAAGTAATTAAAGCTACCCAAACTGGTGTAATTATGAGGATCACTGCCCAGGGGTCTAATATGTGTGAATAATAAATACTAAAAGTACCGTCTTTTTGTACTTACTAACTTTATAAGTTTACTGTCTTTGAATCATTTTGTCTTCGACTTTAGTAAGTGTTAACGTAATAATAAGACGGCTGAACTCACGTAAGCCCGGTGTATGTACCGACTAGTTTGGGACTCATCGGAGGTCCTTCAACAGGGTGAGTGAGATTAGTTCGCGGTCCAGCTATTAGTAAATATTATTTAAATGTGTAGGTAGTGGCGTTACTCACTGTGGCAGCCAAGCGGTGACGGGCACCCGCTTGTGTAGGGTCTTCCGATTGAAACGCCTCCGGAGCCCGGCGCGCCATCCTTCGCGCGGCGCGCCATCTGACACTGCGGACACACACATTTTAATCACACACAGCACATTAACCTAACAAACCTAGCGCTGTAGCTCATCACTAAGGCACACCTGCATCGTCCGTATCCCGCCTCATCCTATGACGATAATGCACGGCGAGAAACACGAGAACCGCTGAATGTTTACGCGCGGCGATCAAGGACGCATGTGTTTTCGACACAAACGTCGCTGCGCGGACGCCTGAGAGCACACTGCGGCCGCTGCGGGGCGGGGGATAGAGGGGGGTGTGTGACGAGGGAGGGGGCGGTTAAGCTCAGGGCCGGGCAAGCCGCGCGGTCTCCTACGGGCGCCTTCCCAACGACTGTAAAAGTGTAAACGTAAACGCGTATCGTGTCTTGTCGGAGCGAGGAATGCTTTGCACGCACGTCTCACGCGGCCGAAGAGCACGGTGTGTGTGTGTGTGTGTGTGTGTGTGTGTGTGTGTGTGTGTGTGTGTGTGTGTGTGTGTGTGTGTGTGTGTGTGTGTGTGTGTGTGTGTGTGTGTGTGTGTGTGTGTGTGTGTGTGTGTGTGTGTGTGTGTGTGTGTGTGTGTGTGTGTGTGTGTGTGTGTGTGTGTGTGTGTGTGTGTGTGTGTGTGTGTGTGTGTGTGTGTGTGTGTGTGTGTGTGTGTGTGTGTGTGTGTGTGTGTGTGTGTGTGTGTGTGTGTGTGTGTGTGTGTGTGTGTGTGTGTGTGTGTGTGTGTGTGTGTGTGTGTGTGTGTGTGTGTGTGTGTGTGTGTGTGTGTGTGTGTGTGTGTGTGTGTGTGTGTGTGTGTGTGTGTGTGTGTGTGTGTGTGTGTGTGTGTGTGTGTGTGTGTGTGTGTGTGTGTGTGTGTGTGTGTGTGTGTGTGTGTGTGTGTGTGTGTGTGTGTGTGTGTGTGTGTGTGTGTGTGTGTGTGTGTGTGTGTGTGTGTGAGCATGTGATCAATCGATTCGCGATCTCTTAAGAGGCTAGAAACGGTCGCGCCTTTAAGCACCGACGGGGTAAAACTGGGTGCTGACGTCGAAAGCGAACCATCAAACCGTGTGAAAGTTTCGGCTATTGCTAATTCGTATTGTGCTTATCCGTTTCAAACCATTAATGTAATTTTTCCTAAAGTAACAAGAGGTCTAACCGGAGTTAACATATCAACCAAGTGGCAACTGAATAGTCAAGTGTTCAAACAATACAGCGAATGTATTTGTGATAACGTGTTGTAATTGTAATGTAAAACAGTTGCAACAACCTTTATAACATTCTTTTGACGCCGTGCTATCTCTTGTTCGTGAATCACCCGATGCAAAACGCCTCCAAACACGGTTGTGGATGTAGCCAATAATATAGGGCTTAAATAAAAAGTGTTCTCTATAATATATCGTCGTTACTTTCGCTTATACAAGTTAAGCAACGTTTGAGTTGGCCTAGCGGACTGAAATGCACAATATCCGGCAATTACTCGTGTCAATGAAAGACATTGAAATTGAAACTCTGTAATCTTTAAAAGAGAGACTTTTATGGTCTAGGTTTTATTTTAAATAGTAAAGGGACTTACCAAAAAAAACCACTTGGATCCAATTTCATTTTAAATTTTCAGAAAAAATATATGCAAAGATTTAAATATATTATAAATAGATACATTATAAACATGCAAATATACCGCATCCACATTTGTGGTATATTTAGTAGGCCAACGCTAAAAATGGACCATTGGGCATTGACGATAGGCAGTTTTTATTAGATAAGAGTTTGCTATGCAGCAGTTTCGGCTGTTGCACGAAGGGATTCAAGCTGTAGCCAGTATTGCAGCCGATGCGACCTTGTTCGCCACGTGACTATGACCGATGGGGTAAGTACATGTCAATTTACGGTTCTTTCAGTTGTGTTAGACCTTTTTTAGAATCGGTATAAACGTTTTTATTTGCAATTTCCTGTAAACCCCGAATGCTTGCAGATCATAGATAACAGAGTGGTGGTGGCAGTTTTGGAGGCGACGATTAAAACTCCTACGAACTCGCCGGATTATGCCATGTCAGTACGAGAAATGAATCACCAAGGAAAAGTTAAGGGTTCGATTTTTTCATTTAGGTGGACGTTATGAGTTGACTGTTTAGTGCTGCGCGATGATACGTCTTTAAAGTGTGAATAACATAATTTTCCTCAGGTATTGTGTACATGTTAACGAACATTAAATTACGTAACAGATTCAAGGCGAATAAATTACAATACATCCATTAAATTAAAGCTAAATGAAGGCAGGTACACAGATGAAGAATCATTATAAGAATAACTAGCTGCTGCCCGCGACTACTTAGAATAGGCTGAAGGTGTAACATTAAGCAGAAAGACAGATATACATAAAATATGTATATAAATTATAGCCTATGTCTTATTCGGATGTATAAGCTATATTATTTTAAAGTTTCATTAAAATCCGTTCAGTAGTATTTACGTGAAAGGGTAACAAACATCCATCCATACATACAAACTTTCACGTTTATAATATTAGTAAGGATTAAGCAGAAAGTTCGAGAAAGGACTTATAATTTCGTGCCCATTTCATCCTTACGGACAGACGGAAGACGAACCATCTCAATGTATACTGAACACGTTGGACAGTGGTTTACAGTAAAGAAAGTTCTCACAACTGAGATTCGTACTTGAAGCCTTGAAATCCTTTCAAAGCATCAGGCAGTAGGCTGTCAGTGTACTTTTAAAGGGATGGATAATAAACATATGGTACACTGACCTAGTCCAATTATTGGAAATAGTAAATGGAGCGTCCGTGTCAGAATCTTTCAGGTACATAGTTGGCCCGTAATGAGACTAGATTATTTTAAAAATTATTTTAGTAAGCTTTAACAAGTTCTATTCGACTGGATTTTGTACGTTCCTGAAATAAGTCTAAGTGAGTTAAAAAGACTAAAAAGATTGGTAGGAGACTCACGTATATAATCATTGCTGGCGTGTTTGTCGTCGGGCGGTGGTAAAGAGCCCGAGGATACGTTGTGTTTGCGTCGCGGGATCATCCTGAAACAAAGGCAAAGGTCAAGCTCGTGCTTGCGAGGTGTCCAGAAGCTCTTTAAAGAGCAAAAGGTTCATCTGATGTTAATCGGAGGCGGGTGCAACCGGCCGTTGTCATTTATGACACCACAGGAATCACCAGGGCAGACCTCTAAGAGGTTGTTAGGTTTTTTACGTCCGGCCGCCTGTAACCCTCTTTGGTAACAAACACATAGATCCGGAACAGTTATCTATGCGTCACAAAAATAGTAGTCTCGTGTAGGAATCGAACCCACGGGCCCCGGATGCCAATGCTTAGCAACCGCGCCACCGAATTAACATCAAAAGCACACAATGTACACAAGGTAATTGAAAGAGAACATTTTGTTAATCGCGTTAGGTACAATCTAAAAATTCCCGAGGTTAGTTACTAAAAGGCTATCCTCTGATGAAACGTGGTGGATACTAAACTTTTATATTATGAACTATGAATTTTAATTATTTTTTGTAAAAAGATGGCAAGCGAGCTGGCGGTTCACTTGATGTAATGTACTGTACTGTGGTAGAACCACGCAATAGTGTTTCCTGTTGCACGAATGGGCAGGTCTGCCCGGGTAAGTACCGCGAAGTCACAGAAGACCGGCGTAAACTGGAAGTGTCATACTTCTGCGTTTCGTCTGGTGAGTTAGGTAGCCGGGGCACACTTTATTAAAAGGTCGCAACGCATCTGCAACCAAAAGGGTCCCAGGTGCATGGCGATGTTATCACTTAACATCAGGTGAACCGTCAGCTCGTTTGCCACTTTCTCACATATTAAATAAACTAAAGTAAGAACCGCCACTGTATTTGTAATTCTCGGGATGAAAACCGCGAGTGGGCGACGGTCACTTACCATCAGGATACTGCCCTATAAATCAACTAATAAGAAAGCGTACAATACAAAGTGCGATCAATACAAAGAATCCAAACCGAGGCCGCATGCCCTTTTCTTTGTGATCGTGTTTAACACGAACAAGAATAGATGACTAATTTACAGAGTGGTCGATCTTAAATGATATCACTTTAGTTTCATGGAAAATGTAAAAGGTTCACTGGGTCAAGAGAAGACGGCGCAATGAGCGATTTATAAACACTAGATTGTTTTATTATTTTGAGTTAATTAGAAACTTATTTCATTCGGATTTTAGGAATTTATTTGAGTTTACTTTCCAAACTCCTGACGTTTCTGTTTGTAATACTTTACAGCACCTACGAGACACTGCTTTGGATCAAGAATTTTAAGTTTTCATTTATTTTTTAACTTATGATTGCTTATTCATAGTTTTACAAATTTAACTCATTTTAATTTATTAGGTCTAACAATAAATCGTTTTATTTTAATTATTTGCATTTTATTAACCATTTAAATTTTTTCAGAAACTTCATTTTAAAAATTATAAGATGGCCTTAACTGTTATTGTAGTATTGTTTTTGTACCTTTAAAACATGATTAAACTACATACATAATAATTAATTAAATAAAAAGATACCAACAGCTTACCAACTGCGCCAACAGAGACTCAAATTTAGTATTCGTACCTATTTGACCTTACCACACGATCAGTCTATTTAATAGGATCAAAAAAATTTAAAAAAAAGTGGCGCACACAAACGGAAATAGCCTCAGATTTTTAAAATACTAACAGAAGTTATTATAGTAAGATGCCGGCCATCAAAGTAATAGTCTATTTATTATCTTCACACCAAATGTAAAGCTCGAAGCTATACTCATAAATATTTAAAACACGCATCATCTAAAAATATAGGTATGTTTCTTTGACTTCACCAAGTTATACCCAAATATGTATTAGGCTATAGAGCTGGCGACGAAGACTGTATAATGCAAAATTACACATAACATCTTCAACGTCAGTGATAGGCTACTTATAGTATATAGTACAGTATATAATATTTTAATAAATATTTAATAAACAAGTAAAAGAACGTTTATGTGTTAAAGGCTATTGTAATATTAATGATTATTTTTAATTAAATGATAACACACTCTGGTTATGAATTGATCGCTCTTCTCGACCAGGCTCTTTCAATCAGGGTTTTTTTATTATATTTGTAATATTCATGTCACACCGTGTATGTCAAAAAAAAGCCCGCTGAGTTTCTTTCGCCGGTTCTTTTCAGTATAGTATTTTGACTATCAATAAGCGAGTGTAATATTCCTATGTTGAATAGAGATATTTGATTTAAAAAAAATGTACATTATAGCTACGCCAGTGATGGGATTTATCCTCATTTCGGTTCACTTATCACCATTTTCGGACGTTGTAAGTCAAGGCCGAAACAAGTTTTCGGTCATTTCTGAGCTACAACAGGAAATAACACTTCCGAGACAGGTTCCGAGATCCGCGTGTCCGTCTACCATATTTTTCTATTTTATCGTACTTTATTATAACGGCCTCAAAGTATGCCGGATATACGTAAATACAATACACATATATCATGTCGCGAGTAATTGAGGTACCCCGGAACTAATTGATGTCTATAATCTTTCAAATAATAATGCAGATTCGAAATGACGTTAAAATATCAAACATTAAAAATGAACAAAACAGTTTGTAGGGAGGTTCCACCGAACGGCACGATATGCGCTGGTTACTCAACTGTGCAGAATTAAATGTGCCGTAAATAGGATAAGCATTAAGCAATCATGCAAAAAGTGAAATCGAACGATTTCAACTGTGTAAGCGGTCCATCCGATGATAAGTAAGGACAACGCTAACACAACACGAGAGACGTTGTGGGTGTGATGTTCCACCAGCGACTTAAAACGCAAAATTACAAATATTTCTACGCCGGCCTTTCGTGAGAGTATGGTATTTCCCCAAACGAGCTACTATATTCGATCAGTAACTCTATTACGTAAGCTGATTGAGATATATAAGGAAGAATTTAATGTCGATTCCACGAAACTTGTTAAATACGACCAGAGCCCACCACCAGTCGCCCAATTGAATAAATAAATTGAATTGAAGACACAATACGGCTGCATATAAATTAAACAGCCAATTCTACAAGTGAATTGTCTAGCTTATCTCGAATTACAAATTCGCTCTGCATTATCGCAGAACGAACTGGAAAAGTTGAGGGGCGAGAATTAGAAAAAATCAAAAACGTAATCAAAACGTAACGACGACTTTGTTTTTGGGCACGGTTCTCTAATTATAAAGGGATTATGGATAAAATAATGGACAGTAACTTGAAAAAACATATTGATCGAATGGTGTTGTAATTATTAGCATTAATTTTAAATGTAATCATTTGTAAAATCCCTCAACGTTGACTGTAGCGACTATGATAAGACGGTACAAATGCCTATTGTAACTCAAACAATAATTAAACATTAAAACTCCTTTCAGCAACTCTCATTAATGCTACTAATTTATATTCTTATCTAGCTTAAACTCGAGATACGGTAGAAGCAACTACTTAATAATCATAAGATTCAATAGGTAATTCAAGCAATAGATCGTATATTTGAAACTCGGCGAAAATAAAACAATCATGTCAGAGACAATCCAAATCCGGTCGAAACCATAGAGAAAACAGACAAAAAAAACATTAAACTCGTTGATGATTAAAATATAACCTAATATGTAAATTTCCATCGGTTAGTTCATGTTTTCTAATTTAAAGGCCATTATTAAGCGAATGCTAATTCACTACGTATTCAAAAGAATCGTATCGTGAGGCAAATATGAAGAAAAAATTATGGTGCTGCATAAATTATGCGAATTCGTGCGAAATTCACCAAAGAAATTATTTTCCATATCCCCTTTAAAAAAAGGTACTTACAAACTTCAACTTTTACAACTTTTCGCGAACTGCAAATTATTCGAATGTATTTTTGTACTTTTTACGGGTAAAGGAAATGGCGTCCAATTGTCTACAAGAAAAAGCGAAGGACTAAAGGGAGAAACACACTATTTGCGACTAGCTACTTTGAAGCTTAAGAAAGACAGACGGACGGCGATCTGAACCTCGTCGGCAAGCGACGCACGTTCTGCGTAGGATGCGCATAATTTACGCGATTCGCGATAGAGCGATATCCGTTCGACGAATCGAGCCTCATACTTGAAGCGACTTGCACTTTTCCACGAAATGTTTAAAAAAAAAAGAAATGCGCGTCAAAACTGTTGTATAATCTGTCACGTATTAAAAATTGGCGCCACGCGTATCCCGTTTTTTCGAAACGCCCGCTCTTGAATTGAACGTCTGTTACAATCACTGATACTTTTTTACTTTTCGAATATCGGCGTGGAATGTAATGTCCAGATCGAGTACGGTCCCGAAAGCCGCTCGGCCGGTTGTGCGTAGCGCGGATCACTGGCGTTCTAGACGAAGCCCGCCGCCGCCGGTGGCGAAGCTGCTGCGTAGTGAAACGACGCAAATGTGAAGAGGACGCACACTGGACGGTGAAAACGCGCACACACAGGTAAGTGCCACCTGCACTCAGAACTCCGGAAAGGTTTTCGTGTAGTGTTTTATCGTTGTTTTGAAATCGAATGCGGGTTCAGTAAAGAATTCTACGTATGCAGCTCTATACAACGTTGATTTCCGTCTACCCCAAGTGGACAATTAACTACGCGGCTTGACACGGTATTGTACAAAGTTCGATTACAAATCAGCGCGTTCAAAGTTCATTTGATGTGCGCATTGAAGCAATACATGACGTTAAAAAATAGTTGGCCGTAATGTCTTACGAGAGAGATGCAGATTGTTCTGTCTAGTAAGAATCATTATTTTCCGCTTAGTCAAATGTTATCGACTTTATGTAACATCTGAAGCAATAAAATACGCGGAACATAATAATACGTTTATAATTATAAAATGCATCACAGCTGAAACAATTACTTAATTAAACATGATTTAAAGAAACTCATAAATTTATACCGATTGTTGAACAGGTTTTTCAAATTTTGGACGACCTTTACAACCTTTAAAAGTTTCTAACTTTTTAACCTTAACAAAA